GACTTGGAGGAGTGACATGATTGAAGACTCTACTATCATCTTCGCATGGGTAATTCAAAGCTACATAATTATCACTCATTTGGTAGTGTTCAAAACGTAAGTCCAGAAAAGGAAAACAAAAATTATGCAATATTGTTCTGCAGATACTTCCTTTTTGCTAATTACTAAAATAGTTTGCAATTCAAGATGGACTAAACTTGACTTAACTTTGACAAAAGTTTAGTCGCAATATTGTAGGCCTTTGTTTCATCTCTATTTGTCTTTGAGTGATAAAATATAACTGATTCGTGTCCTGACAACAGACTGAGTAATGCATAGTTTTTGTCACTTCTTATACCTGCTGTATCTATGGTGTTGATTTACTTTGAGAAATGGAGCAAGAAGTGCATTTGTCACATAACATGGTAACGCATCGCCATTATCTCGTGTATATAAACAGATAAGAGCATTCATTACATGAGACTGGTATCATGTTTTGGGGCTTGCCAGTCGCCGTCTCATTATTCTGGTTGTAATAAAGTGTCAGCATAGATGTGAATGCGTCTTGTCAAAGCATCTTTCGTCAAGATTTTTTCATTATTCTAAAGAGACTTATCTCGACATGAATTCACTACGTTTTGCGGCACTAACTTTTATGACTTTTTGTGATAACGACTCGAACATAACGTTGTGACGACATCTCTCTGTATAAGCAATAACTCAACCTTTCATTTTCTTTCGGAGCTTCTTGTTTCCTCGCTCATTATATTTTTATCCCTATGGAACTGACGTAAGCTTTGTCAGTGTGGCAGCAGGAGAAGAAATTCAATACTTGTTTTGTGTAAATCATGCAGCGCACCAGTTTCCTCAATTTTTAAACATTCGTCAATTTTAATAAAGCCGCATCAACGGAACAGAAACCAGGAGATATTGCGCTGCATGTAAGCCATGCATGTTCTTGTAAAGTAACACAGAGAACCATTTTTTCTTTATTCTATAACGGATCGTGTGCACTAAAGGCACACTTGGCTTTGACAGAGTATTGAAGCAAAATATTAGGTGTTGCCCGAAGATATCAAATCAATAAGAAAATAAATGTTGTATTTTTATGAAGTAATATAACAATAATGTTGTGTTACATTCGAGAAAGATTTAGTCCGTTTACAATGCAGGCGCGGATCTACGGGGGGGGGGGGGGTTAGGGGGTTCAAACCCCCCCCCCCCCCCCCTTGGGCCGCCAAAAAAAAAAAAAAAAAAAAAAAAAAAACGCCCACTGGAGAGAAACCTTTCAAGTGCAAATATTGTGAGAAGATATTCAACTCATCTGGTAACTTAACCAAACACATTATGATAACTTTGGATAAAACTGTGTATTAAACTGTTACTTGATTTAAAAAGACGTTATCGTGCAATGCTTTTTATGTTCTCCATTGTGTTAGTAGATGCCAGGAAAACATCACTTCCGGGGGTTCAAAATAGCCCCCCCCCCCAAAAAAAAAAAAAAAAAAAAAAATCGGTACGGGCGCAACACCCCTCCCCTCCCCTCTCCTCCCCCTTCCCTCCCCTCCCCATCTAATGGCAACAACAACAAAAATGTAGGGAAAGGAAAAGGAGAGAAAAAGAAAGGGATCTGTAGTATAAGGAAGGGAAGACAAACGAATATGTTTCCCTAATCGGTTCCCTAGTAGAAGTAATTTGCATATCATTAACAGAGAAGATCCGTGTTCCTCCCCCTGATACCAGTGCCCCTCAGAGACTAGATCCATGCTACGCCAATGTAAAAGCATTACAAAAAAATAAATACCCTGACTGCGGATTCATACACCGTTTCAGATTGGAATGACAATTGTTAGGGTTCAAATTACACCTAATCATGGCCATGACTGAATAAGATGCATTGTGAAATATATTAAAGTTAGTACTGGGTTTTATCGGGAGGTGGGGGGGGGGGGAGAGAGGGGGGGGGGATAGTTTCGTTCACAGTGAATGGAATGTTCCGATGTTTGCAGAATATAAGTTGATTAAAAGGTGGATGTAAACAAACTGTCTTTCACTCACTATATCACCATTATTGTTATGATTTGTTTTCTTTTAATTACCTACAAGTTAATATGAACTATTTAAGTGTTTTTTTTACTTGTTTTCTTCATATTGGAGATTCATGTAACTAACACCTATTATTAGCTTTGCCCTCTCGTTCCTCCATGAATTGGCATTGTAGTTTTTATGCAATTATGTCACTGATATTCAGAGTTTTTCGTATATCTTCAGTCATACCTTTATGATTGTGGACAAAACAAATCAGTATGAGCGAATAATGACTACGTCCAATTTAAGGTGTTGCGCACGTTTGGCGGTTGATTTATGTCCCGTCGTACGCCTGCCATGACTATTTGAAAATATTGTCGTCAATTTGGCAAACTAATGGGCCCATATATCAGGGGTCTAGTCGTCACCGTGTCTCTAAAGCCTGACCTCGGCTAGCTGGCCCGTGGGATGATAGACGAGAACCCGTTATGACCATGTTCCATGATGAGCTTCTGGCTCCAACATCGAAACTACGCTCTCTACACGGATTGATTTCTAAAACTTTTGCTCCCCTATTCGTCATGCTGATATCTTTTCTTCGACGTTTCTTATCGCCACCTTCACTCTAATAACATTGACTCTTCTAATTTCTCTTCTTTGGTATTGATCTCTTACTTTAAAATTTGAAGTGCTTGTAGTAATACTTCTTTTATTCCGTTGTTTTATCTCATTATTTTCAAGCTTTTTCTTAAAAATTATTATACTCAATTTAAAATATCATTGTCGATGTCTACCTTATATCAGTCGTGGCTTCCCTCTCATGGTCAAAGTGACAAGACATACATGGATTTGCAACGCAAGATGGCGACATGTAAAAGAGTATACTTTCAGTGATTGCGTTTCGAATTGAAAAGCTAGATTTGCTAAATCGAATGTTTGACATTTTAAAGGTGCATGTCATCTGAGAAAATCCTCAGCAATACCTATTTTGATAATGATTCTCCATATCGTTTATTATTATTATGTTTTGTTGTTTGGACATTTGATGTGCAAGTGTCTTCAAATGGATTTCAGATTTTTAAATAATAGGCTTTACATTCAACGAGTACTTTAAACGTTGGGGTTAACATAAACACCCCCCCCCCCCATTAACTAATCCACCTCTCGTCACGAGACTATTTTGAATATTGTTCTTCTGATTATTGCTATGAGAAGCATCACCAGTTTTGGTTACTGGGAACAGCCTTCGAAATGTGCAAAGGCTATAGTTGACTACCACAGATCTTTTAAGTTGATTACCTGATACAGCAACAACATGTAAGAGCTGCGTACATGCACATCAGGGGCGGATCTAGGGGGTTTGGGCGGCCAAGGGGGAAAAAGCCGGGGGAAAAGGGGGGGGGGGTAGAAGGGGGAAAAGAAAAAAAAAGAAGAAGAAAAAGTATAACAGTAAAACGCCGCGATTTTTAGAAAATCCTGGATCCGTCACTGCATGGGTCAACCCCCCCCCCCCCCCCCCTTGGCAAAAAGCTAGATCCGCCCCTGCACATTTTAAACCCGAGTTACCTTTACTTTTGCATAAAGGAGGACACGTGTTTGAACTTTGGAGTGACATTTTACATCATGTCGAAGTTTCATCTGTTTTCATGGTCGTGGATTTTGTTATTCATTGTGGTAAGTACCGTAAGTACACTACATGCATCATCAATTCATTCAGAAACATTCATTGTTATACTTAGTAAGGAACTTGGGCCGAGTAACGTTCTAAGTCTAAAACTGAATGTTATTGAATGAATCGATGCCTGATGCATGATGTAGTGTACTCCCGGCCCCCATATGCTTGTTTCCTCTTTTTGAAAGCACCCCCTATCTGAGGACTGCCAACATTTCCGAACCCCCCTTTCGCGGGCTTTTCCTGCCTTGGAGACCCCCCTAAATTCGGAAAAATGCTCAATTTACCCCCCTAAATTCGGAATAATTTCTCAGGAGTCCAAAGAGATGAGAGAGAAAAAAAAGAAAAAACACCCCCTTTTTAAAGAAATCTCCGGGTGAAAGTCAGATACACCCTCTTTTCTTACAATTCTCGGGCCGGACTTTGTCGCACGAAAAGTACCCCTTTACCAGACATTTTGGTAAAGTGACCTCTTACCAGACGCGTACGCAGGGGGGGGGGGGGGTGTTTGGGGGGTTAACCCCCCCCCCCCCTTTTTGGTTTTTTTATTTTTTTTTTATTTATTTTATTTTATTTTTTTTATTCGAATACTGTGAAATATAGTATAAAACTGTCTCAAAGGTTAAGACCAGTTATGGTCATGCGATTGCATTATATGAAAGAAACGTTGAGGAATCGATCAGAAAAGGTTGATCATCTAGCATCTAGCATCTGCAAGGTTCTGGAATCATCAAAATGATAGGAAATTTGGCCCATTCTTCGTAAAGTTACAAGCACTATACACAGAAAGATGTATATGTGACTACCCTATATCTCTCACAGACCATGAGAGAAACAAATTTACCAAATATATGAATTAGTAGGCGGTTTCCCGGCAAATTTTTTATCGTCATGTATTAGTCAAAACATATTCTTTCACATGATTGGTAATGAGAGCTTCCATTTCATTTTTTGAAATTGGGGCGTTTCCAATAAAAAAAATAATTAAAAAAAAAAAAAAATTAATCCTATGGCTGACCTAAAAAAGGCAACCTTACCCCCCCCCCCCCAACGGAGCAAAATGTCAAATTTTCAAATTTCGAGACCCCCCCCCCCCCCCCCCCCCCCCCCCCCCCCCCGCTTATTCAGCGGCTGGATGAGTCGTTGCGAAATTTTCGGCCCGATTTATAAATGTTACCCCCCCCCCCCCCTCCCCCCCTTGAAAAAAACCTGCGTACGCGCCTGCAAACATGTGCTTATTCCAGCCAAAACCCTCTGGTTAAAATTCATACGTCCATCCGATGGCTGGATTATAGCTATACGAATATTGGCATGCTTGGCCCGCCATACCGCTCGGTTGGCTGCTTGTGAAGCGCTGCTTGTGATGTGATCTATTCTTCTGGGTCTCGGAGTAACTTTTGACCTGTATGTACACTAGCGCCAAATATTAAATGGTAGGTACTTTGTAATTGGATATGATAAAATGAGCCTCGCAGATACAGCATTCGGTAGGAACTACTAAAGTCTTGCAGTCTAAACGGGAATCTAGATAGGCCTAGTGTATAAATGCATACTGTCCTACTAGCTGTAGTCCCACTCGTAGGACTAGGAGTAGGCTAGGCCTAGACCCCTCTGTCTCTTTCGTTCGATCTTATTTGGGAAGGGTCGCCTCCTCTCTCTAGACCATGTAGACTAGGAGTAGATGTAAGAGTTTGTGATATCACCGTCTGATGAATGTGTTTTCTTGTTTCGTAATGATATTTCTGATTTCAAATGTTTGAAATTTTTAGAACCACTTCAATTTCAAAGTTCAATCAATGTCCATGAATCATGATGTCTGCTGATGCATGATGATGATAATGAGGCGCTAGAGTAGTAGAGAGTAGAGAAATGTACTTCGCACCACCACCACATGTGCTTCATTCTGTCATGCATTGTGCATTGGTTTCCTCATTCCCACTCTATTCTAGACTAGGCTATCTGACCATAGTCTAGACTCTAGTCGACTCTACACACAGGTTGCGTGTGACTGAATGATAAATAAAATCTAGGCACTTTATTTTAGACAGGTATTCACCAAGTTTGTTTGTTTAAATGTATAGGTATACCCCCCCCCCTTTATGTTGTTGTAAGTGATTTGTTATTTTTTGTAGCGTCCTTAATGTATTATGTTACAGGGTCAGCTAATCACAAGGCTTGTTCCTTTCTTGCTGTCCCTCTCATACTTAATCTAAATGTATACTTTGTTATTAATTTTTCTTGTGAATTTTATCCTTTGTATCATGTTGATTTATGAATGTTTGCACGTGTTTTCTGGATTTTTATGAGCAAATAAATTGAAATTGAAATAAATTGAAATTGAAAATTGAAATTGAAATTGAACACACCTGGGGAGTGTTTCACAAAGATCCTAAGTAGAACTTAACACTAAGTTGGACTTAAAAAGTATGGACAGCCATTGGAGCCTTAAAATGAAATATATTCAAAAGCAAAAATTGGAGTATTTCAGACTTTTCATCAATGCCACATCAAGAACATGAAATCTCCCATGATAATAGAAAATATGAATGATTTGAATCAACATTTTATGCCTTCTAAAAAAAAATTACAAAATGTTTTCAAGGATGCTAATGGCTTCCCATAAATTTTAAGTCCAACTTAGAGATAAGTTCAACTTAGGATCTTTGTGAAACACCCCCCAGGTGCGAAAGTACATTAGCGGATTTAGCGCCGCTGATGGTACATGTGTTTAATTTTTCAAATGATATTACTGATTTGTATTCATGTTTTAATTGAAGATTTATCACAGATTTATTTGTGGTTGAGTTGCCAAAAACTTCATCATCATCATCATCATGATACGAGGAGAGGTAGATCCTGTAATCCTCTGTCACTTCTTCAGGGTTGGTTATGTTCTAGAGGTTAACTCATTGCACATGCGCAGGTTTAGGACGGTTTTGATCATATCAAATTAACTTAATTCAAATCGCTCAGACCACCAGTGCTTATCCAGTCTCATCTTGAAGATATTAATGGAGTTTGAGTCAATTATTTCTTGAGGGAGACTATTCCAGTCGGACACCACTCTGTTGCTGAAAAAGCATTTCCTTATGTTTAGACGAGACCTTTCCTTGAAAATCTTTAGAGAGTGTCCTCGGGTTCGAGTATTCAGTGATAAGGTGAAGAAGTGACTTGGGTCCAGCTTTACTAAGCCCTTTAGTATTTTGAAGACTGTAATAGCATCGCCTCTCCGTCTCCTATAGTACAAGGAGTGTAGGTCGAAAATCTTTAGCCTGTCTGTGTAGGGAAGTTCTCTCGTCTCTGGCATCATCTTTGTCGCTCTCCTCTGGACCCTTTCAACGTGGAGTTGGTATGCTTTGTTTACTGCCATAGATACATGTTCATGGAACTTAAGTTCGACATCTACTTGTACACCCAGGTCTTTTTCAAGAGTGGATATCTTGACTTATTCTCCTTTCATGTGGTAATTGTCCTTTCTGTTGTTTCTACCCAGGTGAATAACTGCACACTTGCTTTGGTTGAAGGGTAGTTGCCACTTCTCAGCCCACAAGATGAGATTTGTCAGGTCCGTCTGTAGTGATGAGGAGTCTACCTGATTTACTTGCAATGCCAATGTCAATGATCATCACACCAGCAACACATAATGGTCAATGCTAATGCATATAGATAAAGTGTAGGTTTAATACATTATTATTCCTAAGTAAGAGTAAGAAGAAGAAGGAGGAGGAGGAGGAGGAGGAGGAGGAGGAGGAGGAGGAGGAGGAGGAGGAGGAGAGGAGGGAGGGAGGGAGAGGGAGGGAGGAGAGAAGATGAAGAAAGATAAGAGGGAAAAGGAGGAGGAGAGGAGGAGGGAGGAGAGGAAAGAAGAAAAGAGAAGAGAAAAGAAAAGAAGAGAAGAGAAGAGAAGAGAAGAGAAGAGAAGAGGAAGAAAGATAAGAGGGAAAAGGAGGAGGAGAGGAAGAAGGGAGAAGAAAAAGAAGAGGTAAGAAGCAGGGGGAAAAGAAGGAGGTCTATGAGACTATGACCAAGGCTATATATTAACAACAGCACAAGCTACTTTCCAATATCATTTAATATCCATCTAATTTACTTTCACAGATAAAATGGCCAGTATCTCCAGCTACTCAAAGCAACTCAGAAGATTATGGCATATCCACAGACAGTTCAAGAACACCTCGGTGCCCCCAACTGTCCCCTTGAGATGGATGAATACACACCGTGTTAGGTCACCTATCCAGAGGATATGTAGTCAGTGCTGCAGGGCTAGTTACCCATCCAGGACCCTAGCAACCATTCCCAAGGGGGATCAGAAGAAGGACTTGATGTTCTCGTCTGATTTCAAGCCGGATATTGATCTAGATTTTCTTGCTCAAAATGCGGAGGTTATTGCAGACCGTATCAGCCACAGGAAGGGCAAAATTGATGTTCATGAAGTTGTAAGGTTTTTTTTTAGCAGCTTTGGAATTAAATTAAAGATGTATGTTCAACTTAGATTATTACCTCTCGGGTGAATTTAAAGAATAGGACTTGTATGACCAGCAGGGTTCTCTCTGGTGCAATAGTCACATACCAAGGGTAAGGACTAAGGATCTCACAAAAGAAACACTATTTGTAAAGTCTTTCCAACAAGGGTTCCATCAAAGGTTATTGATGTTTCATTACTTACTTTCAACATGCTAAAATACTATTTCACTTTGGTCAATATTTCAATGCTTATAATAATAGCCTAATACTCCACTCCAAATTTTATTAAACCGAAACGGAAATTCTTTTTGCCCAATTGATCGTGAGCCCGGCAGCCACTGAGCAGCGCCAGATCGACGTTGCTCTATCCCTTATTGTTGAACGCCAAACAAGGTAGCAACAACTCCCATCTTTTAACGTCTTTTGGTATGATGCGGCCGGGGTTCGAACCCACGACCTCCCGGTTGTGAGGCGGACGCTCTACTGACTGAGCCAACACTCCGGTATACTTATATTATACCCCAAAAACACAAAACAACAACAAATAAACAAACAAACAATTAAAGAAGAAAGATACCAGAGTAGTATTTTTAAATAATTGAACACAATCTTATTCTTGGAATAACACATAGATTTAGCCCCCAAGACCCAAGTTATATCTGGCCTAGTATTCAACAAGTTATGATGAAAGATGGAAGGAGGTAATCTTCAATTTTAGAGGAATTTCTCAGAATGAGAAAATCATTTAGTTTCAGTTTGATATATAAAGTTGATATCCAGTCATACCTGTAATGTCAATACTAAGTAAATCAAAGTGATTTGTATGCATATGTGTCTTTTTTCCTGTTAGCTTAAAAAGATGAAAGAATTCCAGCTCATACAAGAGGATGTCCATGATGTTCAACTTAGACTACAAACTGATATAGACAAAGGATTGGTATGTACTTGATATTATAATAAATAGCTGATTCATTTTTTTATTTAATGAAAAAAAATAACCTCCAAGGTAACAAGATACTTTTTGATATGAAGTTTCAGTTTTGCTACAAAAAATATTTGAAATATCTGAATGAATCCACATAAAAGAAGTACCCAACCATGAATTGAGCTGTGCAAAGCCCTCTCTAACAATTGATTCATAGGTAAACAGAGTATACATTTATATTATCTGTAGAACACATATCCCCTCAAAAAGAAAAAGAAAAACTACAGATCACTGAGCGACATGCTTTTAATTTTTTTTTTAATATATGAATGACATGACTGTATGTAGCAGGATCTCGTAATTACTTTAGGAGTGAAACTGCTTCTTTTCTTATTTGCTTTAAGAATTGTGCAGTGCCTTTCTTCTTTTTCCTCAGAACACAAAGGAATTGGAAAGTATGTTGAAGGAGAAAAAGAACCAGCTTGATAGAGCACAAAATGACTTCTATCGGATTGCAGTGGCCATTCCAAATTCAATCCATCCTGATGTGGTAAGACTTCATCTAACAAGTATATGCAGATGCCCCTCTAAGCTGAGAAACTGATCTTGTACAAGCACCTTGTTTGTGTTTGTAGGAAAAACTGCATTTTAAAATTGTGTTTTGTCAATAATGAAGAAAAAAAAAATCATGATCATTATTTCTTAGTTCTTATGAGTACAGAGGTGTATATATTTTGACTAAAGAAATGAGACATTAGTCTTTTCAACGTGAGACAATGATTTTCGAACTCCTCAATTTGATGATGAAATAATTGCAACGATAGTTACCTGTTCCGGTGATAGATGTCTTTCATCTATGTCTATTCTGTTTCTTATATTTATATATTCTATTAAACAGCCTTTGACTGAAGATGCTGATCCTGTGTTAATAGAAGAAATAAATGAGAAGAGATCATTTGACTTTCCCATCAAGGGACATGTGGAGCTTGGTGAAGATTTAGACATCATCAGATTAAAGTAAGTCAATATTCCTTCAAGAAAGAGAAAATGTAAACTTTTGTAGACAATAAAATGCTGAAATAATATTCCTTTTGGAGAAAAAAAAAGTTTGAGTATTTACAGTTTCAAAGATAGTCTTCATGAAAAACAAACCAACAAAGTCTATTTGATTGATCAGTGCAGCACCAGTATTCTATTGTGTTTTGATTTCAATTTCCCCCCCTTCAATCCTGATAAAATTTTACAAAATCAGCTCAGTTTGCAAGAAGGACAATTAGTTATAAATATAGGCAATATAGGCAATCAGACTTTAATTTTTTTTTTAATTGTTAACAGATATGTAGAAGATGTCCATTCAATCCAGCTTATCTCAAGGCTTGATCTCTCTCTATCTCTGTAGGAATCTTGGACATACTACCGGTCATAGGTCTTACTTCTTGAAAGGTGCTGGATCAATGCTAGAGGATGCCCTCGTAAGGTTTACATTAGACAGGTTAATCAAGAACCATGGCTTTAAGATCATCAAAGTCCCTGATCTCATCAAACCAGTCGTTTTCGTAAGTATTGTAAGTAAACTTAACCCTTTCTCATCCTCTCCAGGTCTCCCCAATCCTCCCCCCTCTCTCACATAATGGTGGTGGTGGTGGTGGTTATTTTACGTGACAGCAATAGATGCTTGTTAGTAAGCAACCTGAAGACCGACGGCATTAGGTCCTCTCCAAGGGACCTGGTAATGAGGATTAATGCCTTACCAAAGGGCACTAGCGCATCGACTTGGTTTCGAACCCGGGTCACCAGATTACAAGACCACTGCTCTACCGACTGAGCCATCACGCCTCCTTTGCAACCGCAAGCCTACTGTATAAGAATGTATCAGTCCATGAGTGTAAGGCTCTTCAAATTGGCTGAATCTGTAATCTCCTGTGATGTAGTGGCGTACAACTTTCCCAAATGTTCTAAAAACACAAAATGACTAAAAATCAATTTTTGTTGTTGTTGTTGTTGAAAATGTATTGCTTGGGAAGATCATTTTTTTTCAGAGAACCTGTTATAATAACTCTCAAAAATGTTTTTATGCCTCCGTTACGAAGTAGCCGGAGGCATTATGTTTTCTGGTTGTCCGTCCGTCCGTACGTCCCGTTCTCGTGATCGCGTTATCTGAAGAACTGATTGATGGATTCCTGCCAAACTTTGGTCATGTATGTATCTTGCAGAGCCGATGAACTGATTAGATTTTGGGGTCACGAGGTCAAAGGTCAAAGGTCACAGGGCTCATTATGTATGCAAAAACAGCTCATGATCGCGTTATCCGAAGAACCGATTGATGGATTCCTGCCAAACTTTGGTCATGTATGTATCTTGCAGAGCCGATGAACTGAATAGATTTTGGGGTCACGAGGTCAAAGGTCAAAGATCACAGGGCTCATTATGTATGCAAAAACTGCTCGTGATCGCGTTATCTCAAGAACCGATTGAAGGATTCCTGCCAAACTTAGGTCATGTATGTTACTTGCGAAGCCGATGAACTGATTAGATTTTGGGGTCATGAGGTCAAGGTCAAAGGTCATGCGGCTCATTATGTATGCAAAAATAGCTTGTGATTGCATTATCATTAGAACAGATTGATGGATTCCTGCCAAACTTAGATCATGTATGCATCTTGCAGAGCCAATGAACTGAGTAGATTCTTTGGTCATGAGGTCAAAGGTCAAAGGTCATGGGCTCATTATGTATGCAAAAATAGCTTGTGAACGCATTCTCATTAGAACTGACAGATGGATTACTATTTAACTCGGGACATCTTGCAGAGCCAATGAACTGAGTAGATGTTAGGGTCATGAGGTCAAAGATCAAAGGGTCATATATGTATATGAGAAATTGCTTGTAATCACAATATTCTGAGAACCTGTTAATGGATTACAATTGAACTTGAATTTAAAAAATTTCTTCTGTTTTGGTTTGTAAATTGCTCTATGACAGAGGCATCATTTTGACTGGGCGCAGTCGAAGTTCCATCTAGTTTTGAGTAGTGCCCCAAGGGTGAAGACACTTGGAGAAACACAGAAATTAGTGATTTTTTTGTACAATACAAATCGGAGAGTTATCCGTCACTTCATCACAATCCACTGACAGAATTGCCAATTTGAGATTTGCATAGCTGTAGTGATCTCATATTTCAAACATTCATCTTTTTTATCAATTTTCTTTCGGCATTCTAATTCTCGAATTTTTCTGCTTTATTATAATTAATTATATTTGCTTATATAGCGCCTAACACTTACTTTATCAGAAGTCTCAAAGCGCTCTACAATAATGCAGCATAATAAATTACCCTGGCTTTAGCAGTGCAGCTGTTACGCGTGTTGCATTTCAAGGAATAAATTAATACCAGGTACCAATTTACTTCACCTGGGTGGAGTGTGGCAAATGTAGATCAATGTTTTGCCAAAGGACATTAGTGCTGCGGCGGGACTCGAACCTCGGACCTTGTGATCGACAGTCCGGCGACGTATCCACTCGACCACAATACCTCTACACTCTTTCATTCAAATGAACTTTAATATTGCAAAGGGTTGGATTGCCCTTTATTGATCAATGATTTTATTACAAATTGTTAAAGTTTGTGAAAAAGAGATCTATGTTGAGTACTTTCCATATTCTATTGTCTCTGATTTGTTGTTCAGGAAGCTTGTGGAATGAGAACCGAAGGTCTTCACACACAGGTGTATCCTCTATCACCGGAGTATCATAACAGTGATTTGTGGTTAGCTGGGACTGCTGAAGTAGGCATTGCAGGTCATTAACCACATATTTTTTTGTTTTTGTTTTTTTTTTGGGGGGGGGGATTATTTTGATTGAAATTTCAAGGATCAAATCTGTAAAGAGGAATGTTTGTCATTGAAAATATATATTGTATATCTTGAGTGCAGGATTTACGAGATAGATTTTGTAATAGTTAATAAACTAAAGTTATTTCATGGCAGGATTTGTCAACCATTGCACAAAAATAATTCAATATTATATTTCAAAAAATACAATTCCTGGTTCACACAATGTACGAGGCCAAGTGCGCAATACCTAAATCAAGTCTTTGCTTATGTTCATTTCACTGTCACATTTAGCTATACATGTACTTTTAAAACACTTGCAAAATCAGTGACCTGCAGTTGGTAATTGTGAATGTGCTTGACTCCATCTAATGATATTATGAAATATGAATAATGTAGGTAAACCCTATCGTTGTATTTAATTGTTTGCAGGATATTTGATGAATAAGACAATACCCATGGCAGAACTTCCCTTGAGAATAGCTGCTGTGAGTCGTTGCTACCGAGCTGAGACAGCTCACAGCGCTGATGCTAGAGGGCTCTATAGAGTACATCAGTTTACAAAGGTATTATTTGGGACCATGTGGCATTTTATACATTCTTTTTATGCCTCCGTCCGTCCATACGTCCCGTCCGTACGTCCTGTTCTCGTGATCGCGTTATCTCAAGAACCGACAGATGGATTCCCGTCAAACTTGGATCATGTATGTATCTTGCAAAGCCAATGAACTGATTATATTTTGGGCTCACGAGATCCAAGGTCAAAGGTCACAGGGCTCATCATGTATGCAAAATAGCTCGTGATCGTGTTATCTCAAGAACCCATTAATGGATTCCCGCCAAACTTGGGTCATGTATGTATCTTGCAGAGCCAATGAATTGATTAGATTTTGAGGTCGCGAGATCCAAGGTCAAAGGTCATAGGGCTCATTATGTATGCAAAATAGCTTGTGATCGCGTTATCTCAAGAACCCAGTGATGGATTCCCGCCAAACTTGGGTCATGTTTGTATCTTGCAGAGCCAATGAACTGATTAGATTTTGGGCTCACGAGATCCAAGGTCAAAGATCACATTATGTATGCAAAATAGCTTGTGATCGCGTTATCTCAAGAACCCAGTGATGGATTTCGCCAAACTTGGGCCATGTATGTATCTTGCAGAGCCAATGAACTGATTAGATTTTGGGGTAACAAGATCCAAGGTCAAAGGTCACAGGGCTCATTATGTATTCAAAAATAGCTCGTGATCGCTTTATCTCAATAACCCATTGATGGATTCCCGCCAAACTTGGGTCATGTATTTATCTTGCAGAGCCAATGAACGGATTAAATTTATGTATACAAAAATAGCTCATTTTTGTTTTTGTTTGTAAAATTGCTCCATGGCGGAGGCATCATTTTCGACTGCGCGCGGTCGAAGGTCCATCTAGTTTAAGGATATTACTCAAATATGACTTATGACATCGTCTACTATTTATATTACACATTAAAGTTTGTAAAGTTGTAAAGTTTGATTGTTTTTGTTGTTTAGTAATACAGGGTTCCCAGCTATCCTGGAAATAAGGGGAATCTCGGGGAATTTGAGAAAATATCTCAAATTAGGGAAAACTGGGGATTTCTGTGACCCCAAAAGAAATAAGTGAGTCTCTATATTTTGGCAAATGTCCAAAACATATTCACTGGGTGATTGGCTTGATATGGATTTTTAGAACTCCATCAGGGAAATATGGAATAGTCAGAAAATTCTGTTTTCATGAAATGCTGGAAAATCTGATCAATTCTTCAAGATATATACAGCGTTGAATGCAATGATGAAAATTAGACTTAAGGTTGACTACCTCGAATAAAGGTAGTTTAGAAATCATGGCACTTTCAATTTAAAAAGTGATTCAAGTTCATGAAATGTTTTCTCATTTTTTAAGGTGGAGATGTTCTGTGTAGCAGCTAATGAGAGTGGGAAGGAGAGTGAGCAGATCCATCAGGAGTTAGTAGGGATCGAACGAGAGCTCTTCAGTGACTTGGGGTTGCATTTCCAGTAAGAATTGCAAAATAATGTGTACTACTGTAAGCCTCTCTAAATGCAAAGCCATCAGAATAAACTCTAAAAAATTGGGCAAAATGTCTCTTTCTAGACATAAACTCTAATCATGCCCAAGTTTTTTAAACCAATCTTACAAACCTGTGCTTCAAAAATGTGCTGTATACCGGTATATGTTTTTTGTTTTTGTTTTATGTGCTATATATATACAAATCGATAATACACCTATATGAAAATGAAAATTATACAGTGAACTATCAACAATCTCCTGAGTGGGCCAGATTTGCAAGGGTTTCATGTACTGAATAAGTTGAATACTCTAATGATCCTGAATTTCAGTTCGAGAGAGAGAGAGAGAAAAAACCCACTTTGTTTCAATGAAAATGGGCTTCAGTAACAATTTGAGAAAGCATCTGGTCCAGCGGTACAATAAGTAGAGAATGATGTGTTCATTTTATTGGTCATTTATTTCACCATCTGAAGTAGAGCATGTGCCTCATGCATGATGTTGATTTGTATTGTACCTGTAGGATCTTAGATATGCCTGCCCATGACTTAGGAGCTCCTGCATATAGGAAGTTTGACTGTGATGTTGATTTGTATTGTACCTGTAGGATCTTAGATATGCCTGCCCATGACTTAGGAGCTCCTGCATATAGGAAGTTTGACTGTGAAGCCTGGATGCCTCACAGGAAAGCTTATGGAGAGGTAAGAAGCTCAACCTTTAGATCTTGAAAAAATACCAAAATGTATTGATTTTTAGAAACACTTGAGCAGCAGACATCAATGTTGAGGAATTGAAGCGAATCTTGCGTCCTCTCGGCAGTGAAGCTTCATTTTAAGAAAATGTATTTGAAAATCATTGTGAATCGTTTATCATGTAATACTTAAATACATGCTGTAGTAAGTGTAGGCCTGCCTAAGGTTAACAAAGTAATGAGAGCTTGGTGAAAATTGCATATCCAGAAAAGTCACCAATTATCAGTAGACAAATGTTCATTATGTGGACAGGTATGCCTGACAGGTATGCCAGACATCTCAGGCACTATGTTGTTGATTTGTTTAGTTTTAATGTAAATGATAATTGTGGCATAATTTGATTTCAGTGATGTCCTTTTTCTGCCTTTCATAAAGGTTTCCAGTACTTCAAACTGCACAGACTTCCAGAGCAGGCGACTACACATCCAATATAAACCAAGCCCAGAGAGCCAAGCTAAATATGCTCACACAGTAAGTCATCTACATGTCTAGAACAATTTTGTCAATCAATCCATCAAGTTTAATAGTTGATCAAGAAGATGTAGTGGATAAATGCAATTTCTGAATGCTAGCTGAAATAAATAGGAAATTCTTGACCTTATCTTAACTTTTTAATGACCGAACAACTCAACTGAGATTGAGATCTATCGATATATGTGTTATTAAAACAAGTCAGTAGGGTGATACATAATAATAATAATAATAATAATAATAATAATAATAATAATAGAGAATATTTATGAAGCGCATACTAATACATATGAATACAAATCCCTCAAGCATCAAATAATATTTTATTTCTATTTCAATTCAGTCTGGAAATGAAAACTGAATATGTTCCAAAAATTAAGACTTTGTCAGTTTACCATGATATATGCTAATTCATTAAATATCCAACTTGAAAAAGTACCGAGAATATGTCGATAACCCTTCAGTTAACTAACAAAATTAACTGAATAGACGGTTGTTAAAAAGAAAGTTGGAAATTGATAGGGTCACTAAATAAACCTATCTTTGTATGATTACTCTCAATGAACATTCAATGTTTGAATGTGTTCCACCCACCAGCTGAACGGTACAGCCTGTGCAGTGCCTCGCCTCATCATTGCCATTCTGGAGAACAACCAACAGAGAGATGGGAGCATCACGATCCCTGAACCACTTCAACCATACATGGATGGGATGAGAGAGATTACAAGACCTGCATCAGGGAAGCTCCACTTTACAAGATTATGATGGAAGCTCCAGTCTATGAACAGCAGTTGCTGTTAGAAGACCTAAATTAAACTTAATCCTAAACTTTCAAGTTAAACTGATTATGTTTATTGGGGATAGCATGTTATTTGTATATGTATGCAATCAGGTGTTAGGTGTAAGGTGTTAAGTGTTATAGGTTTAAATTCTTTATAAGTCGCAAGGGACCAGCACCGCATAAGACTTTGTTTTTTCTTGCCGGTTTCCTCATTCGTATATATATTTGTATTTTGCGTTTATCTTCCGTTATGTTATTTGTATGTTCCTTACTTATCTGTAAATATCGATGTTATAATTATGTATTATATTATAATTTATGTATTATATATAATTATAATTATGTTTTTATATTATGTCTTTAAAATGTCCCTGTGGAAGTGAATGACGAGGAGTGAAGTGCCTATAGCTGTCATGTAGCCCTTGAAATGAAAGTGGTCAAGATATCAATCTGCAAGCTATTACCTATTGTGATGAAGGTTGTGATGAACCGTTCAAGAGAAGTCCAACCATATATTATAGCAAGGTGATCAGAAAAATAAGAGTAAATATGGTCAAAGTTTGGAAGGAGGCAGACAAACAAGGCAGTTATGAATCTTTGAAAGTTGTCATCACTATAAATACAAGAGTTTCAAATCGGCTATGTTGCTTAGATCACTACGATGTGGTGGCGGAAACCTCCAAGGTTGTTCTGACTTACAAAATGAGTGAAAGGTCTTCTTTTAAAAATTCTTTTCTCAGTGGGATCTTTTCCTTTATGGAGGATTGATAACCACATGCTATCCATGAGGTGTTTATTTTTAGTTCTGCCCCAAGTGGAAAGGCACTTAGGGGAAAAATGGAAAGTAATTTTTCAGTGAATGTCCCTGAAGAGGACAGAATTGACAGACAAAAATTCCAATTTAAGATTCGCATTGGTTTAACGATCTCATATTTCAAACATTTGTAAATTTTTTATCGTTTGTCTGATATCTTTAACATACTTCACTGTCCTATATTTCGTTTCTGTTGTTGGTACACCACAAAGACAAACGTTTGGATTGCCCATAAATAGATTCAGGCAAAAAGAATTATGTGTTTAATGTGGAAAGAATGTCAAATCATGAAAGATGGTGAATATTTAAAAAGAAAAAAGCAGTAATTGTTTGTCATAGTTTTAATAATTCTATAATTATTGCGATAGTGTACCTTGAGCAGTCTTTTAGAATGGTTATGGGCGATTATTATTATTATTTACGCTGTATCTGAATTTGTAAAGCAAGAAATTACATGATTTAAGTTTGTATTTAATTATCTCACTCAGGATCAATGGGCAGCATAAAATAATAAAATCTTTTGTGTAGGTGCGTGATAACTTTCCGATATGGATTATTTATAAAATGTCTAAGACATTACACTAAAAAAAAAAAAAAAAAATGCAACAGTGACACTTATATTTTTGTATGCTTTATTAATCTAAATACCATGATTATCACCATATGAACAATAAATGTTACAATTCATCTAACAAATACTGCACTGAAGATACTACATTTGTCTAGTACTGTGTTTAAAAGTTGTTGTAAGGTCACAAGTTTCAGGGAAAAGTTTACACAGTATTTTTTCAATATTTAGTGGGAATATATTTTTCCATCAGCACATCTTGGCACATTTTGTTTCAGTCCAGCATAAATTGTTTAATACTTGCCAACAAGTCAATATGGAACTTGTAAGTAAGTGAATAAGAGTTTAAGGTGGCATTTCATGATATCCATTCCTTTTCTTTTTATACTTGACAACCAAAGAGAAATGATGGCTCAAACTTGTATCTATTTTCCAATGAAAACAAAAAACAATTCCCAACTTCACTTAAAAATCGTCATAATATTATGCCTAAGGGATATCTTATTTGACTCTATATCATTTACTACTTGAATCCTGTATACTGCCTTGTAAGATGTAATATTTATCTTTAATTTTGAGAGCATTTGATGCCAGTTTTGTCAATTAAATTACTATTCATTGTTTTTTGTTTAAATAATGGCTTAACTTAAAAGAAAAGGTAAACAAAATAATCATCACAACCTGCTTGAAAAAAAAATGCCACCAAAAGGTTCCTTTGTAATCTAAATATTGCACATTTCATACATATGATTGATTATACCACTTATATGCATTATGATTGTCTACTTTTAATTATCTGTTACATATGTTGATATAAAACATCAGGTTTGAATTACAAATACATAATGAAATACAAAAAAAACAACTCCCAAATCATAAATATACAAACAAGTGCAAAAGTATTCTACAAACAGTACGAGGAAAAAAAATCTTGTAAAGTATTGACAACAACTCCCAAATCATAATATACAAACAAGTGCAACAGTAGTCTATAAACATTATGAACAAATCTTGGAAAAGTATTGACAAAACACAATCCATGGCAAGACGTATTATAGTGGTAAGTTTATATAGTAAATGGATATTGGAATCGCTCTCGCACTCGGACTGCCACACGTATGTTAACGTGCACGGGCATCATCTCAAAAGCCTCCAGGATTCATTTAAGATTCCGACTTGAAAAAAGGTATATTAGTTTGTTTAATATGTCCATATGTGTCAGAAACCATCAATAAATAGCCAATTTGTAATTTCTGTCGGTGAGTAATGACTTGTAATATGTAGGTGTTATGTTTAGGCAATTTAAAACCTACAATATCAATATGTTACTTCATAGTAATATTTTTTGCCAATTCAGTTTGCTAAGTAAACAGTATATCAAGTAGCACCTTAAAATTATTTGGCAAAGTTCTTATGGCATAATATGCATATTTGTGCGAATCAAATATAAATATATTCAATTTCATAATTATTATTTTAGTATAAACTATGTTACCTTATGCATAATAGGGCAAGTACTAGTACCTTTAGGTAGGGTAGGGTAGGGTTAGGTAGGGTGGATACAATACAAAAATACACAGACAAACCCAGTACACTTATACCATAGACGTGTAGTTGCATAACTGTGCCTGTTTGCATAAGACGTAGGGCTACATGAGCCACTAATGTAGTCTGTGATACACCATGTGAGAGTTAGCAAAGTAAATGTAAAGTGAGCGGAACAGGCAATACATTTTATTGAATGCCCTGAGCATGCACTCATTACCATCATAGGCATGGCTGGTGTAGTCATAACGGTGGAACAAGCAGTAGGACTCGATAGAAAACACAATGGTAGAGAAAATGTGAACCTCATAACAACAAGTTTTCTTGATAACCTCAGAAATATGTTGATAGTTTTAAATAACAAAAATTAAAGAAACAAAAATTTTAAAAGGTGCAATAAGACCTACTGTACAAACTTTATAGTCACCAGTTTATCTGGTTTATCATTCAATGATATTGTGACCACAATGGGCAAATATATATTTCTTTCAACTGAAATACAATATGATGATTAAATAAACAACTGCTATAACAACCACATACATACCAAACACCAAATGGCAATTCTTCCATAAAACACAGTCAATCTACAAAGCAATGATTTAAACTAAATGATATTACGGAGTTAACACATACATAAATATCGTAACACAAATGTATAAGTTTCCTTTTAGTTTTACAAGGGAAAGCTTACCATCACAAAGACCGATGTCTAATAGCACAAAGAATCAAAATATTAAAATAGGAATGCTTTTATGAAGGAAAATTGTTTGGAAATACTAGAAGACATAATAAGTAGAGAAGGGAAACTTCATTTAATAAAGGGGGAAAGTGCCCTCTTAGAAGACAAATTTACCAGCAACATTGTAAAACACAAAAAATTTACCTAGCCTTTCTTTTCAAAAAATCAAATAATTAAAGATAGCGATATCATTATTTTATGTAATCCAACTACAATATGTCAAAATCATCATGTGAGTATCATTTCCTGATTTAGACAAAAGACACATTATAGCTCAATGTGCTTTGGGGAATGCTTTTGATTCTCCTTCACTGCTGCATCAACTTTCTCGCTATCTTCTGAATCTTGCTCTGGCTTCTCTTCTTCTTTTTCATCTGTTCCCTCGGCTGCCTCCTCAGGGTGAAGCACAAATCCCCTACGTCCGGCTCCTACACTATGCTCTTCATCTTCCATGAACTTGAGGAAGTCATATGGAGGAACTAAAGGTTTCCATTCTCGATCTATCAAGGCTACAAGAAAAACAGAGATAAAAGTGAGATGTTTTCATCCGATTATTTAGATAATACTCTTCAGGAAGTCTTCAGGAGGAACTAAAGGTTTCCACTCTCGATCTATCAAGGCTACAAGAAAAACAGAGATAGAAGTGAGACGTTTTCATCCGATTATTTAGATAATACTCTTCAGGAAGTCTTCAGGTGGAACTTAAGGTTTCCACTCTCGATCTATCAAGGCTACAAGAAAAACAGAGATAGAAGTGAGATGTTTTCATTTGATTATTTAGATAATACTCTTCAGGAAGTCTTCAGGTGGAACTAAAGGCTTCCACTCTTGGTCTATCAAGGCTACAAGAACAACAGAGATAGAAGTGAGATGTTTTCATCAGAATAATACTCCTCAGGAAATCTAAGGCTTCCACTCTTTATCTATCAAGGCTGAAAGAACAAGAGATATTATTATGTTCTTATAAAAGACCAGTTGGAGAGCTTTGATTGAACTAATAAGTTGTATAGCTTTATTGAGGCTCTGTGTCAGTCAGACATCTTTGTAGCATCTCATGTACAAGTACTCATTGTTTCATAACATGACCTGGCATGAGTCATGGGTTACAGGTCATTCTATATTTAGTTATACATGCTAGTCTGTATTTGCAGACTCTGTTAAACTACATGTAGCTATCACTACAGATATGACCCTCCCCCAGATGGGAGATGTTTTCATCAGATTATTTCAATAACACCTTTCAGTAAGTCTTTAGGTTGAACTAAAGGCTTCCAATCATGATCTATGAAGGCTAGAAGAATGAGATACCCCCTCCCCTAGATGTGAGATGTTTTCATTAGATCAGGAAGTCTTTAGGTGGAACTAAAGGCTTCCACTCACAATATATCATGGCTACAGGGAAACAGAGCAAAAGGAGGCAGCTGTTAAATACATCAGGTACCAAAATCATAAAATGGTCTGGAGAAAAAAAATATCTTAAGTACAACGCTATACAGTTATTATTATTAAATAGCACAGAAAAAAATACTACCATATTTAACTGACCAATACTGGTAGATTCTAAATGTAATGGATATATCATGTATTAAGGATATAACATGCAATGTTCTTACCTCTAGCCTCAGAACAGTGCTTGGGACTTTCCAGGGATACCTCAAGCCAGGCAGTCAGAGCAGTTTCAGAAGGATCGTTGCCATAGGGACAGCGACACACTTCACCTAATGCATGGTCTAAGATGGCTATGGTAGCTTGGTCAGAGTTTGGTAAAAAGCCGTACGTCGTCAAGGTTTGAGAACCAACAGATTCCTCATCAGAGCTGCCATGGAATAACAGATTGATATCATATTCAAGCTAAGCACCAATATGTGGTCAAATACCACTACTTCATTCCACTTAGGAAAATATTATGATATATACATGAACATGGACATTCACAAAGATAATGGAAAAGAAAATCACATTTGAAAGTTGGGTGTACAGGAGAATTATGAGAAATACTGCATATGGGAATTATGAGAAATATTGCATATGGCAGGACTTAAACAAAATTATAATATCCTTAAAGGAATTGTTAAAGAAAGGATGATGCTTACTTTGGTCACATTAAAGGACATCACAGTCTCTTGAAAGATTTGTTGGAAGGGAAAGTATAAGGTACTAGACTAAGAACCAGCTGGGAGGGGGAAATTAATACATGGAGTGGAACACACTGAAAGTGTTTTCTAGAATGGCAGAGAACAGAAACCATAAATGCTTACATATCCATCTGGCTCAAGGTGTACTGGTCACCATATTTAGTGGTTGTTAGTTGTCTCATTGACTGTGCTGCTATCTCTGAGATTTGATTACCAGCGTGGAAGAGGATGACAAAAGGCCTATGTTTGGCTAAGTAGATTGGCATGCTGGATGCAGTCAGTTCAGGCTAAAAATAATAGTAAATAAAAATAATTAATTATTTTCTGACTTTTCACAAAGCCCACCATGTTTCAAGAAATCTATGATACTAGATATTTCAAATAGTACTTATACAACTATGCAGGTTACAGCTCTGGATTTCCAAAATGTATAAGTCCAACAAAATGAGAATATAAATGATTCATCCTGCTGAATGGCATATATATGACAAAGACATAAGTTTGTCCATATATTGTCTGCTTTTGCAGAAAACAATGACAAACCATTCTTTGGACTATTTTTCATCTGCATTCCTGCAAGTGAATAATAAAAGGACCCATATCTTGGACCTTGAAAAAGTAATTCCTTTCAGTAGCTCCTAGAAGCTATCCCAATATACCAAATTCAAGGAACTTAACAGACTCAATATGTTTGTTCTAAACTTGTATCATTTCTAGTACTTTTAGACCTGTCACAATAATTCTTTTCCTTCAAAGAAGCTGAAAGTGCATACTGTGTTCTTTGGTTCAAACGTATTGTCAAGGGAAAGTGACTACCGGGTATATAAGCTTGTTCTGACAGTCATACATGTAGAAGGGGACCCCTCTTTGAATACTAACCAGTATAGGAAGACTAGCTTTTTTGATGAAAGCTACAAGGTCTTGAGTAGTGGACTCTTCTATGAACCTCTGCTGGGGTTCATCGGGGTCATTCCATTTCATGATGGTGATTGAAGGCTTGGCCCGGTCGGGAAAAGAGCTTTGCCTGCAAGATATATACATATATATATATATATATAAAGGTAAATGCACTCTTAAGGAAATGAAAATGTTTCATCAGGTCAAAGGTTACATCTATTCCCTCATTATGAACATTTCAAATCTGATTTAAGAATTAAGTCAAAACAAGGAGGTGATAACATCAAACCCATAAAACAGCAGCAACAGTTCATGCCTGCAGCCCCATGAAACGAAATAAATAAACTAATTAATTAAATAATTTATGCCCGCAATAAAGATGTGTTAGCCTACAGGTAAAAGTATCAACATAAAGAGTGACTATTTACAAAACCTAAATCCCATGAAGTATATGGAGGGTATCATCTGTTTACTCAAAAGCTGATTTTTAAAAATGCAAAGAAGCAAAAAGAGGATTTTTGTCTTGCTTACTTCAACAAAAACACAAACAGGGATATCATATGAATGGACGTAAGTACTAGTAGGTATACATAAAGCAAGCAAAAATAGTTGATCTAAATAATAACAACAAATTCACTTTTAAAGAAACAACTTTAGTATGAAAATTCAAAGGAATCTTAAATCATTTTTCTCACAAGTCTATATTGATTTAAAGGCATAGAAACATAACTTACACTTCTTGAGCACACTGAGATGTGCATAATCCAAACAAATATTCTCCCCTCAGCTCTTCGGCTACCTGTTGGAAGACTGCCCTCTCTGGTAAGATAATAAAAATAGCGTTTGTGTCAGAAAGGTAGAACAGAGAGAGGCAGAGAGTCAGACAGATGGAGACAGAAATCTTACAGGTAGATGGAAAGAGGTTGGTCGCATTGAGGTGAAATGTATTCTACAGTTAAGTTGTGTAAATTGAACATTTTACATTTAAAGGAAATTTAGGTTAAAGTAGGTTGACTAAATGTATGGCCAATAGCAAACTACATGGATGTAAAGAATTATAAAAACATAAAAACTACATTAATGTGGTTAGTTAAAATAAAACAGAAAAATCGAGATAGAAGATGATAACACTGTAGGTCCCCACCCCCCTAAAAAAAAGAAGACTTTGAATGAAGAAGAAATTACAGAAACCAGAAAAAACACAAATAATCACCTTCTTGAAAGCCATCTGGTATGACAGCCAGGATAAGGCTGGACAGGTGATCTTTGACCCACGGAGCTGGAAAGATGCCTTTTGTAGCTCTCTTGACCTCATCCATATCTTTTAATTCAATCGGATTGGAAAGCTTATACCTGGTGGATGAAAAATTAGTTCAGTCCAATTAAAACAATATAATGGAACGTCACTGAAATACAATGAAGTACACAAAATTTCTTAATTTTGAATAATTTTAACTTAAATGGAGTAAGGGGTAATTAAAAGAAGACACACCTAGAATGCTTAGAGCGCCATTCTGGTAGTTCTGCTAAAGTGGGGTAGAATACATATTAAGCGCTTTCAATCGCCAGAAAAAGTACTTTATAAATGCAACTATAAATATTATTACTTGACAAGTGGGCTTGGGTTCAAGTACTGTATTCTTTACTTAGACCTTATGAAGGTGTGGCTGCTAATCTGCTATGCAATATTATCAGTGAAATATTAAAGTTGCAAAATACTTTCAGCACTTAAACGATTCTTATGATAGATAAAACTCTAGAAGAATGTTTTGAATGTCCCAAGATTGATGATCAAATAACGACGACAATAACAATGGTACTCACAAGAGATAACTCTTCAGAACATTATTCTTGTCCAGTCTCCCACCATAGGTAGCTATATCAGACTGCCCCCTATACATCTTGACAGTGGGATAGACCATCACATTGTTCTTATCACATACATCTGGCCAGCTGGAGCATTCCACTCTAGCTAGAGGGGGTTCTTGACTTTCAGATGAGAAGAATGCCAGGATGCTCTCTGCTGCTGAGTCAAATGAGTCCAGGAATGCCAGGGATCTTGGGTTCCCTGAAACAGAACAAAAAAAAGAGACTTATATGATTGCATGGATATATCATACCTTATATTGGACAAGGGGTATGCTACTGACAATGCAGAAAAGGTAAGAAACATGTTATAGTTTGGACACATTGATTACCAGATGTTTTCCATGAACATTAAGTCTCTGCATCCTCCTCTTAATACTGGTGTTCGTAATGGTTGGAAGACATTTTTAACAAAACTGTTCCACCTATTAAGCTTTCACACATGACAATTCTAAATAGTCAACAAAAGATTAAAACTAAATAATAATAGCACCATCTTATTTCTCAGTGAAATGCCTCCCCATATTTCAAAATTTCCCATTTCAATCTTCAATGAAACTAAAGTATGACAAAATATTTAGTGTGTAGTGGTCTTTACAGTCAGTGATTCAAGAACATGGGTACTTACACTCCATAGTGAAGAGGACGCTGGTCAGATGGGACTGACTGGTAAACTCAGGGAACGTCTTATCGGTCAGAGAAGAGATAATGTACTTCTTGGGTTCTATGACAAGACGTGAGTGGACAGTGGCTTGTTGGACAAGGTCATCCTGACGCTCTTGAACTGCAAACATCCATTAAACATGAGAAACATCTATCAGGTACTCTTGGTACAATGTTCAGGTGTCCAATAAAATGAAAGATTTAACTTGTTTCACTTATTACTTTACATGCACCAAAGATCCAGAGTTATGGTTTTGAAAAGGTGACCTGTTTTTGGAGTGAAAGATTTTGATACAATACATAGCGACATAAACAGGTGAAATGTCTTAATGAGGAGTGCATAAATACACGAATGTACTGTTTCTCAACTAATTAAAATTAAAAACACTTCTGCACGTTATTTACCAATTAAGGTACTATAAAGTCCAGTTACCATTATTGTTGTTATACCTATTCATTTTCTTTTATTGTTCTTACCAGGAACATCTCCATCATCATCGCCATCTTCTCCCATGACATCATTTTCATCTCCTTGGTTTGGATCTTCAAGGTAACTGAAGACACGTTGGATGTTGATCTTGATGAATGCTTTCAGGTCAGATACATCATTGATACCTTCACCACTTATGACCTAGTTTTGCATGAAGCGAATGTGTTCATCAGAAATTAAGAAATAATATTATGCATATATAAAATAGATATGTCCATTATTATTTACACATTACGAAAAGCTCTCGTTAAAACTATACCCCACCACTATAACACAGCAGTGAATGTAATCTGGTGGGGTATCACTACCCCAATTTCGTTTCTCTCGTTAAAACTTTGAGAGAGCTACTACTATTACACAGGCATCAATGGGAATCTGGTGGGGTATGACTACCCCAATTTCGTTTCTCTCGTTAAAAACTTGGACAGAGCCTTGAGGCTCTGAGTGAGAGATTATGATATTGGATTGCAGCTGGACTCTTCATCATCTTACGTAATACTAGTGTAAACAAACTCTTACTGGGGCTCTGCCTGAAAGGAAATGAGAAGTAGGAAATAAGTATTTTACTTGTTTTAAGATATTTTCATGTCCTAAAGTCACTAATAATTTAGATGAAGACCAAAATGAAAGTTCGAACGAAGCAAAATGACCCATCATTGGCGATATAACAACAATTTTAACTCTGGCAGCAAACCCCTGCATGTGTCTCTTTCTCCCTTCTTCCTTCCTTTCCCCCTCTATCATGCTTATCTCTCTCTCTCTATCACCTCATCAAGGTCTCGGTGGGGTGGATTACAGCAATAGTGTTTACTTAGGGCTTAACAATCTCAGCTCTAGTAGTGGTGAAAGTCAAATGGGGGTTTCAATTTTAAACGACGACTTTTCGTCATGTTTATGCATAAATTTCATAGCTTTCTTATGATGACATCACCATCAATGCCATCACTATCACTGCCTTCTCCTTCTCTTTCTTCTTCTTCTTCTCCTCTTTCTTCTTCTTCTCATCACAACAACCATCGCAATCAGAGTCCATATATTAAGCTATTCAGCAAAAAAGTTTTTACAATTATCTTGAGAAATACCTCACTAGGCTCATAAGTCTAATAAAAAACTGCTACAATGAGGCATATCAGCATTATAAAAAATATCATATCAGTATTCATTGAACAGCAAACATCATCATCTGACATCATCAACATGATATACAGTACCAACCTGATCATGACTCTGAATCACAAAGCATGCTGGGATACATTCCCCCTTCAAATCAGCAAGCAAATTAGCATCTGATACAGCATCCCTTTTTGAAGAAAATGTAGAAAATCAGAAAAGGAACTGTTATCTTCTGGATCAAATAAGAGGTGTCATTTCCTATGATGTTATAATAATGCTCCAATCATACACACACGTACATAGATGTGTGTATATCAAGATAATATTCCAATGGGCCTATTGCCCTCCTGTTAGAAGAATTATTTTCTGCTTGAAGAAAAGGATAATACTCTATGAACATTTTCAGCTTACAGCATTTATGAACAAAACATTGAATATCTTGCATGCAACTGTTTCAAGCATTATTTCACAGCCTATGGAAATATCTTTCTGTTGCAAGAAATATTTATCTGTATCACCTGTCTGTTTGGACCTATGATGATGATGACACTACCACTATCACATATCTCCATACCACAAATGTTACAAAATTCACTGAATTATTGCTGAATTCAACATGATTCTGGGACAACTACCCAGAGGAATTCCACCCCCAACTGCTACTATCCCATACCCCTCTAGACATTTACACCAGGAGCAACAACTCCAGGGCAAAGAATTACCCCCCCCCCCTCCTCCCACACACACACACTAATGGATTAATTGTCTTATGGACTAGTTGTCCAAGAGGTAGTTTTCCATGGGGGAAATGGTAATTGTCCTCCAAAAGAGAGGTGGGGGCACATAATTATCCTACAGAAGAGAAGTAAAATGGAGATTGTCAACCTTCTGCAATAACCATCAGGTTCTTTGCTTTGTGACTTTCAGCAGATCGAGGCAGAGACTCACCGATCAATGACAATGAATCCAAGGTTTCCCTGGTACTCATCTTTCACATCCACGATGAGAGATAAAGCTTGTTCATGATTGGTTGGATCAGTGATAGTGTAGAGTGTTGATATACCATGCTCCTTGTACACATCTGACTGCCCTGCCTCAGACATATCAACCTGAAAAAAGAACAGAAAAGATGATGGAAAGAGAACTTGAGGAACATAATATTACTGCTGAAAGCGAACAAACATGAATAAATAATTCATAATAATAAAAATAATAATAATAATAATTTTTTTAAGTCCACTCTAAATTTTGTATTGAGTTAAAACGAAAATGGAAATTCTTTTAGCCCAATTGATTGTGAGCCCGGCTGAGCAGCGCCAGATCGACGTTGCTCTAACAATTATTGTTGAACGCCAAACAAGGTAGCAGCAACTCCCGTCTTTTAACGTCTTTTGGTATGACGCTGCCGGGGTTCGAACCCACGACCTCCCGGTTGTGAGGCGAACGCTCTACTGACTGAGCCAACACACCGGTATAAAACCGGTATCATGCATTCCATTTCACTTAGGAAGTTGATGTACAACATTGTGTTTTACATTACAATGAACAAATGTGCTCATTATATTCATAATGGCAGACCGGGTTATCCCTGGTTTGACCTGCTCCACTGGTATATGGATCGAGTGCCAAGTAGAAAGTTCTTCATTCTGCACAAAACAAACATGAACATATGACATGAATCCAGTCATAAAATGAAAATGGGAAATTGATTTAAGGATATCTTAATTTCTGTTTGTTCATTTAGTTACAGGGTACGGGTAAGTTTTACCGGATGAAGATGTTGACGCAAATCAATGGATCAACGATCCCGCTTAGTCATTTTCAAACCTGGACAAAAATTACCTGTACATGCGTATTAAAAATAACAGCCAAATAAATCACATGCAGTATACAACAAAAGTGAGTACACTCTTAACGAATAGCGGAATATTTCAATATACATATTTATAAAGCTGAATTGGGAACAATGTCTTCTCTATTGTTGCTGTGCGGCTTGTGATTTTAGTACACTTTTGTATTAAAGGGGTTACATAAGGGGTGCACTCACTTTTGTTGGATGAATAATGTGCTGTATATTGAATACATACCATGGCAGGTAGTTCTAGGACTTTCATCATGATGGATAGACTCTCTAGTGTAACTGGTCCATTATACTTGGCCCAGACACAATCCTGGTGTGGCTGTGCCTTACTGCATTGGCTGATAGCGACCAGTGGATCTGGTAACCGATTCAAGCTAGGCTTTCTGGCAACAGGACAAAAAACGAAGATGATTAGATAATGAATCGCTTACGATCTCAGGAAAAAAAGGGAGTTTCCACTAAGATAATCGTTATCGAAGCTTCAGTTCAACTCAAATGGAAGGAAAAAAACACCTCCAAATGGAATAACCACCAGGAGTAAGATAAACCACCTCAGCATTGAACAAATATTACAGTATTTTTTGTTTTTTGTACTTTCTCTGGAATGTGCTCTATATGTTATACATCTATTCCTTTTCCCTGTTTCAACTTAAACACATCGAAAACTGATTTGTAGTATTAAAGTAATGGGGCTTTCACATATACACTCCAGGGCCCGTACGGCAAGTAAAAACAGACATGTTGGGAATTTTCGGCAGGCTCCCGTACAGTTCCTACTGGTGCCAGGACATTGTTCACCAGCCTTACGTGAAAATGTGAAACCAAAAAACTCAAACTCAAACTCAAGTTGTTTTGAGAAGTATGAGGACTGAATAGTCATAAACTGGTGAAATGAAATTTAGATGTGTTGACTAGCTTCAGAATTATGAATTCTACTTTAAAAATATGGACATTAAGATATTTCTCTAAATTCTTTCATCATTCCACAGATATCGACATGTATGTCAACATATGAGTTACATTTTCCTCCAATATTTTAAACAATGCATATTTGTCATAAATGAAGATATAAATAATTCATAAGTGGTGATTTAACTTACAGATACTGATTTAAAGCTTCATTACAAAATATTCTATCCATATGCCTAGTTTAAAGGGATCCGGTAACTTTGTCTTAGATTCTGAAACAAAATTCTGGATTTAGCTCATGATACAATGATAATTATAAACCTTTAGGTCAGTCAGGAACCCCATGACTTTTAGAAGCCGATCGCCTGCCTGATTATCAAGATATTTATGATTGGAATTACAAATTTTGAAAACCGTTCGCCTGATGGTTTTCATAACACTACAGTCTATTGGGGAAAACGAGTATGGTAAAACCGGTCACTCAAAGATTTTTACTTTTTTGAGGCACTTCTTGATCATTTCGAAGCGCGATTTTTTTAGGGCTTCAATATTATATCACAGACACTGATAACACGTAGGGCCGTGCATCTCAGATTTAACATTGTTACACGATCCCTTTAAAAAAATGATTGGCCTGCCCCCAAAGATCACCAAAATAAACGAGCCTTTTCAAGGTTGCAGGGCATTCATCTCTTATAACAGTGGATCGGTTATATTATAACATGACACCATTTTTAAAAATATAAAATTCTCTCTTACTTTTCTTGTTCTTCCTCCATCAAATTTCTATTGGTTGTCACAAGAAACACATACTTGTGTCTGTAAGCAAAGGCCACCTCCATTAAAGCTCTGTCAGCTAAAATATTAAAACACAATGGTACAGTTTGAAATAGTATTTAAAAAGAAAACACAATTATTTACTCTATCAGATCACCACGCATTTTAAACTTAAGATGCATTCTTTGTATGGATTATTTAAATGCATTTCACAACATAGGTAATCACAGAATGATCTGGTGTCAGTGGTAAGAGACAACTGTTGGCAGATATACTTAGAACATATCAATAGCATTAAACTAAAATCAATCGTATATCCATTATTTCCCTCCTTCTCTATGCAATCAAATGCACAGATAGTACTGAAGTGCAAAACAAAGGGGGAAAATGAATTAATGAAATAATTGTAATAAATAAATACTAGTATGAAATAAATTTTGTATTGGGTAAAACATAATATTATTGTCATATTAAGGATAGAGAGGTGATAAGATTTCATAAAAGAAACAAAATTTGTTAAAGTTAAAAAAGAAATAAAGTATCAACAACATTGAAAGATATTTTTGTTTTCAACTAAAAAATTGGAGACATTCTAAAAGAGAAAACGATAGTGTTATACATAGAGCGGACACAACAACTTGCATGAAAATACTGTCTATCAAAGAATTCAGGTGATACCTGTGATGCCAACAGCAGGGACATAACCCACAATGATGTCTTTCTTCCCTTTGTATCTGTCTTGTTTCTCAAGAAGATCTGAGGGTCCAGCAATGATGGGTACATCGATCAGGAGAACAAGGCTGTTATTACAAGATATATCAAATGGTTTTATTAGTCAACTTGAATTAAAAAAGGTTGTCATGGAAGTGAATTTCTTAAACAACAGTTATAAAATAGAAAGAAAAAAAAAGAGAACATTTAAACTTTGGCTTGGTCCTACATCGTGGATGTACCTCTAGTGAATGGACAATTTATGAATAAATATTAGTTTGGGAGCTTGGCTGAGAATAATTCCTGCACAGCATATTACAACAGAAGTCAAGGGTTTGTTAGGAATGCTTTCCAGAAGGCATCATATCCTGGACCGTTCTCTTCATTTAGATCATTGCAAAACTGAATTTACATCAAGAATTTTTTCCAAACCAATCAGGGTACATGGTCAATCAATAGACTTCATACTTTGTTAGAATTAATGTAAACATTCCATTGGTATGTTCTGATAATATCAAATAGCCTTAATTCTCCTCGATCAACTGCTTCTTCCTCAGTCCCTTGCACTCATATGACTTATAACTTAGAAGTGATACATTAATTGCAGGGTTTAGTAGAGACAACTTACTGAAGGATATTTGAAACAATTGAATCAACGCTGAATAGAGTGTCATACGCCAGAGTGATGAAGAAATGGCCATGTCTGAAAACAAAGAAACATGAATATATACCGGAAGGTAAGCAAGAAATCAACCATTACTCTTTATATGATTCACATGACTATGACTGAAAGTTTTGTATTCATTTAATGAATATGATAGTCAATTAAATACATTTAGCTCACACACAATTCACTTTATCTTCTATGACAAGAAAAGACACATAATAAGTGCTAATCTATATAGCAGTGGAAATATTGAGAAATATATCATCCTAAACTAAAAGATGGTGAAAAGAGACTTTATTCAACTTTATGATTTATGTTTAAAAAATTGCTTATAGTATGAGGATCATATGCATGTACGGTATAAGCAATTGACTCATGCTTTGTCAACAAAAATCTCAATTTCCATTATGTAGATGTGAATGTTTAAATACAGTTTAGAAAATAATGATGTGCAACAGAAAAAAGGGAGAACAAAATTAAATGATCGAATCCAATCAATTGACTGTAGCAGCTATCCACAATCATTCATGCTCTCCATATTGTGGTTTTACCATGATTTTTTTTCAAAACGATTTATTTAGAAACCATCTGATAAGCTATTGTAATTTCTGCTGGTGTATATTTCAATACACAATGATTTATAGAGACTGCAGTCCTAGAAAATCACGGTGAAATTAATCCGTAGATGAGGGTAAATGATACCAGCATAATAATAAGACTGATGCATGGAAATGTTTGTGTCCGTACTTTGTACTTGAATATCAAATTATCATTGTGATCCTGCTTTAATCTTCATTTTCTTATTTTCCATCTGGTCTGAAAAGATTGGGGCCTGCATATTAATTTCATTTCAGAAAAAGAAAAGGAAAGGACTCAGCAGGAGAATTGGTCCCTGTTTTCTGATATTTTACTTGTCTCTCTTTGGAGTGCATGAAGAAACTGATCAAGTTCAGAACTGCTTGCCTTGGTAACTAAACTCACAATTTATGTAAATATATGTCAGAAGAAAAATAATGTTCCAGTCGAGTTTACCTGAGTAACGTCAATTTGCAATTTAAACTTCTAAAAATATCATTGCATTCAATACTACACCCTTCTCAAATGAACTAGATAATGTACCTGAAAATATACAGGTTCAGTGATGCATCCGCCTTGAGACAATATTCAGAAACGGGATCTGATATACAGTTCACCTAATGAGAAAAAAATTATTAACAAAGTTTTAATTTTAGTAATTTGAAGGAGATGGCCTAGCTAGAACCTAAAACATAATGCAACGATTCAGGCAAAATAAACATCTGTCTTCTTTTTAACTTTTGAAATTACACATCTGTGCTTGGTTTGTAGCAAAACATACCATATAGGCTATACATACATGTGTGTAAAAAAAAATTACATAAAAATTACAACACATGCCAATACGTAGGGTACTACCCAAAAATAAAATTGTTACGACATGCCCAATCGGTCTTGCTTGTTACATTATGGTCAACTTGCCATGTTTGAGCAAAAAACCTTTACTTACATACATGTATAAAGTTGCTAATCCATAATTTTGGTAGGGCAAGTGTGTTTGTAACATGTATGTTGACCATGTTAAACAAATACCGGTAGGCCATTTTCGTATTTAAGGTTATCAAATTTGCCGCACAAATCTTTGTTAAGTGCCTCGTTAGAAATTGTTTCGTTCACCTGTATTAAATAATTGTAATTCAATAGCTTGTCCTACCAAACAACAAGTACTTAAGTACATGCAACTCATTATATTAAAATACAATTTTTTATTACAGGTGAATGAAATAGATGGGAATGAGGCACTTAACAAAGATTTGTGCAATAAAGTTGATTTCACTACGAAAATGGCATATTCTATCACTTGTTCGTTTTCTTGGTTCTCTCGTAGCCCATAAATGCTTTTGAATGATATCATGATACAAGTAAAATATCTTGCACATGAATGAATTTTTCAAATGTTCACATAAATTTTGCACTAACCGTTCCGAGGAAAACTCCAAAGTCCTTCAGGTAATCACCAGCCTCGCTAAAATGACCTTGAAATGTTTTGGAGTGTGCTGGAATAGCTACAAAGAAATAACAAATTCCAAAAATACACATTTCTAAATTGTAACCACACACAGAATTTTCATATGCACACAATTCACAAAGTCACAACTCATTTAGTCAATACTCAGCTCAGTAGCATTTAGTAGTTTCAGGAATTACTGAAATAAATGAGTCCACAGGCACAGGTATCACTGCAAGATTATAGACAAAATACATATTGGTATGTGCCGTTTCATTGTCAATTTAATTTGTACTATGTGATCTAAAATTACACTAGTAGAAGTAGAACTGTACTAGGTCATTTGTTCACCATCTAAAATCAGCTAGCTAGCTTACGAAGTCAAATGAATGTCGAATTTGTACACAACTCAGTGCACACAGGTCACAAGCATTAGTCAATACTTACTTCGTATGAATGAAATAGCTACAATTTCCTTCGTTTTCTTGACATCGTTGAAAGCCTGAGAAGATACAACATTGTAGAACTCACTAGAAGTAGCCGCAAAAATGGCAAAAAATGAGAGAGTCAGAAGAAAAGCAGAGCTTCCAGCCATTGTTCTCATCATAACCGGGGAAGTACGGTTAGCTAGGTGCTGTATCGTACAGGAGCAGGATGGCAATGGCGTGGCGTCCTTATGCCCAAGCTTACGGTATGAACCGTGAACAATTTCCGCACTGCACTGCACTGGGAGTTGCTGTTATGAGACAAAACGGGGAGGTACCATATGGTGGGAAATGTGGGCGTGGTTACAGTTGTTGTATACTGCGTGCATGGAGATCCCGATGTGGATAAGAAAATTACGTAGAGATATATACTTAATAAGTTCTATAGAAAATTATGATGGTACAAATCATATATATGACCTCCCCCTCGACCCCCCCCCCCCCCATTCTCTCTCCCTTTCTCTCTCTCTTTCTCTCTATATCTCTCTCTTTCTCTCTCTCTCTCATTAAAATTTACAGGAAAGAGTCCGTCTCCTGTGACCCGAAGAAGAATGGCGATTTAAGATCAAATCCGACCTCCCCCCTTCTCCTAACTCTCTCTCTCTCTCTCTCTCTCTTTCTCTCTCTCTCTCTCTCTCTCTCTCTCTCTCTCCTTCCCTCCACTCCCCTCACCTTTTTCTAGTAGAACTTAAAAGATAAACCCACGAGTAATAATCAATTAACCGAACAACGCCAACATATAACTACCAATCAATCATTAATCATTCAGTCAAGTCAATCAATCAATGAATCAATATATCAGTTAGTAAATCAATCAATCAATCAATCAATCTATCAATTAGTCAATCAATCAATCAATCAATCTATCAATTAGTCAATCGATCAATCAGCCACAGTAAATCAGAGCCATAACTATAGGATGCTGATCAAGTATAAGCTTGGCATTAAAGAATATCAAAAGGTCGGTTTGCAGTTTGTAATAATATTCTTTATGATAAGATATATAATTCTCTTTTGTTAACAAAACACAAGTGTTAGATTACTAATACATTAAAAATATACTCTCGGGCCTTTTATCAGCATGAAAATTAATAAATTCCTCTCATTAAGTTCAACATGTTAATCCAGTGTGAAAGAACATGATAACATTTCACTTTAAAATAGCATTGATTATCAATCCTGCATGGGAGGATCCTCGTTGAGATCTGTTCAGGTTTATAGGCTATATCTAAGGCTAACGACGTTAAGCGTGCATGTAACAAGATGAGTGATAACAGAGTAACGTAAAAAATGGAAATAATGTAACGGTAAAAAAAGTTTGATAACGCAGATTTATCTTTTATTTTTTAATTTTTTTTACAGTTCTATAATTATCAGAATTTTGTCTGCTTGTGATGCTCTATGTTTCACTCTTTGTGCTATAAGTGAAACTGGAGATGTTTTGGTCACCGTGGTAAACAGATATAAAGAAAAGTCATACGTATCAAACTTCATTATATTGATTAATCAAACATACATTGACTTCTTTCATTATTGATGACATCGATTTGAGAAATGTAAAAAGGTGTGAGGACCAAAATAAACTACGCACAAAATTTCAGCTTAAGATGGAACGACAATACCTTAAGTGAGCTTTAAAACAACTAACAGTTTGCATACAAAGAAAAAATGTTCGATAGATTGAGTGCATATACATTTCAGCTATTTTCTTTTTTAAAGACTGATACAAAAAAACACTTTCTATTAAATTCACAGAAAGTTCTTTGTAAAACAACCCATAGATATTTATATTAATTGAATACAATTACACAACCGATTAATCAAGGCCTATAGTTAAATGTATTTTACAGAAAAAAATCATTCTCTTTGATATGCCATTAAAATAGATATTTTTAATTATGAACATAAACTCTTAAATTGCTGCAAATACAAAATAATAAAAGCTGAATTAACGAAATTAAATTATGAATTAGTTCGTAGGTAGAATTATTGATTTATATATAATTCATTCATATCTGCACCTTCAAATACGAAGATCTATAGCTTTTTTCTTCTTCATGTTTTCAATGTTATAAAGTGCTGAATTCGATATCCCATAACTCAATACAATATTATACATTATGTACAATTTTATTTATAAGAGAAATGAATAAAAACCTATGAAAACAAAAATTAGGGATTATGCAATATGTTGGGATGGTGCAGTTCAAGGGGCTATAAATATACCCCTTTCTCTGGTAGTGTAGTCGCGTTTCAACAAAGACTGCGGTAGAGAACAGCTACAATTTCTATTGATACGAGATGAGAAATGCAAAATGCCAAACAGGATTTGTTTTTCATTGATTCCGTTCGATGCATCAATTTTTCTTTCCTCTTGTTTCTCTTTTATTTCTTTAATACTCTTTCCCCCACTACAAGAAATAACATAATTTTTAATTAATAAGACAACATGATTGTTTTATCTCGTCCAATGTGAACTTCCTTCCATCGATCTCTTTAAGAATGGGAAGATCCGACATGTTACCACACTGTTCCCATAAATCCTTTACCATGATTATATCACATTCAAGAAATAATTATGTGCCTATAATATATATTGACTGTTTCTTCATCATTTCCACAAAAGAGGCACTTATCGCATGATATGAATTGAGACATGTACAAGTGATGATTAACATAAACAATATTATATCCGCAACACTGTGCCCGGCCCCGTCTATTTGCGAGTCCTACCCCTGTCCCCTTTGATATCAAAATTAATAGAAAGAGCCACCGACAGAGCCACCGATCACGCGATAGTGAGGATCGCGAATCATTCCAAGGATCGCTTCCAGAACGCCTGCGACATTCTCGGCTGTAAAGAGTATAGAGAAATAAGTGTAAAAATTAGTTAAAAGGACGCTATTACTATCAAAATGTATTTCCGTTAAAATCTCACTTTAAACAAAAGTATCACACCTTCCGCTTTGATGAGAAAACCTGTTAAAAAAATCGAATCAATTTTATATTTGATAATGACCCCAAAATATGCCAACTTTTAAACCCAAATCCAATTAACGTTTGCTTTCTTCCCCTACTGTTTAATCCTACTACAGCGGTATATTATTTTGACAATCAGTCTTGCTCCATTTTTTTAAACGTCATTGTATATAGTAAACCAATAAAATAAAAATGTGCCCCTTAATATTATTGTGCTCTCGTTAAAATTTCGTAGTAGGGCCCCACCCCCTTTCACAGAATACTGTATATTATTAGACAACTACCTTCGTATTGGCAGGCGGTGCCTATGAAGCCGGTGTTACACTGACAGAAGGCTCCTATGGTGTCTACAGAGCAGTGACCATGTCTGGTAGTGCACGTATTGGTTCTAGCGTAGAGATCATTACATAGCATCGCCAAACGCTCGTCTTCACTCATTCCTTCTTCACGAGTAGCATCTGTGTAAAAACCAATGAAAGCGAAGAATGAGAACATGTTTGAAACCATAAGGAATAACATAGGACAAGGAATCAATGGGAGCTATATCCCTTACAATGATTGTGAAACGGCCACAAAATGCTTGTAAAACTCTGTGAACAATATTTTCAAAATGAACGCAAATATTATTATCACTAATACAATGAGGGCATGCCAGGCGCGTACACAGGGAGGGAGGGGGGGGGGGGGGGGGGGGGGGTGTTTTTGGGGATTAAACCTCCCCCTCATTTTTTTTTTTTTTTTTTTTTTTTGGGGGGGGGGCAAACAAATAATGAATACTCTTCCCCCCCCCCCCCCCCACTGAACGAAATATCGCTATTTTCACATTTGAGGGGCCAAACAAAAAATTGTCCTCTCACTACCCCCCCCCCCCCCCCCCCCCCCCCATCGAGCGAATAATCTGTCGGTGCAATTTTCAAATTTCGGGGGGGGGGGGGAAACAAAAAATATATACCCCCCCCCCCACCCCCAGTTTCTAACATCATCAATATATTAGTGTTCGAAGTCCACTCTGTGATCACACAAATGTGCACACCATATCTGAAACTCTTTTATGTCACATCACGTTACGATGTGAAACAGAATCACCTTATGAAATAATGTGAACACAGTGTTCTTAAACATTGCATTTGCAGTTATCAGTCATGAACGTGATTACTCTAATCAACGTCACCAACCTACCTCGTGTAGAATGGGGGCGCTCCGTTCTCATCACCTCGTCTTGGGCATCTGGAGTTTGTTCACTTGTTCCTTGAGTTACGGTGACTTCTGGTTCCCTAGTTTCTTCTGTCACCTGAGTAGCAGGCTGATCGGGGGTTGAAACATCTCCATCATCATCACCGTCATTGTCGCCGCCATCATCGATTAGGGGACTACTCTCTCCTTGAAATAAAACGAGTACAATATGGCAAGATTGAAAGCCTCGAAATTGTTGAAGGGAAAAAAGCTTTCCAATTCAAATCCAATAAGGTTGTTGACTTGCTCTGTGACACCAGGTTTCTTACATTCTAATAATAATAATTATTTGTGTCCAAACTTTTACAACTGATTGAATAGCGGAGTAGCGTGCGTCCAGCCGTGGGTATAGGGGTAGGGGCGGCATCGGTATTATGGTGGATGAAATATTTTAAAAAGAACAATGGACATCGAGGGAATGGAATGGGTGTAATTACATTTTTCACGTTGTAATCCTCTCACTTTCTTTCTCCTCTTTCTCCGTTTCTTTAAGTTTACTTTTTTTTAAAACCATTCTATAAAAATGGGGGCGTGCCCCCATGCCCCTTTTGCTAGACCACCGGATTTAAGTTCACTTTCGTAAGATAATGGTCATCACCATAAGGTAGTTTCATGCATTTTTGTAAAAAACAAAATTTTAATCGAAAGAATTAAGATAGCAATAGACCTTGGGGAGATGACAGTCATGACGTCTCGATAATTGGTCTCTATTTCTTTCATTATTTTTACGTCAATAAAGATTAATCAGAGCAAGAAAAGAAGGTGAGAAAAGAGGACAAGGTTAGTCTAGATAGACAATGAAAGGGAGAAAGAGGGATGCAATTAGGAAGGGAATGGATATTTAAGAAAAGGTGAGGAGAGAGGGAAGGAGAGGGGAGAGTGGGATAGAGAGAGAGGGGGGGGGGTGGAGGATCGCTCACCTTGTTGTGGTCTCCCGTTTACGACATACTGGCAGAGATGTCCACCCCATCCCTCGTAGCACACGCAGTGAGGGCCGATATTATCCGAGCCGCAATAACCATGGTTACTACAGTTGCTCGTCCGAATCATCATGACTGAACAAGATTCTCGCTTCATCCGGCGTCCTAATAAAACAATGATGAGCAATAATAGGGATGACGTTATGACGGGGAAATGATATGTCAGTAAATCCGATACACTGATTTTAATGCTATATATAGTCAGTAAATTAATTTACCCGTATAGAAATGCAGTGTTGAGAAATCAATAAATACATTCATCAACTAGACCTATCAATTTTAACATGTTTAATGACATAGAATCTTTATCATTCCAACAAAACAATGTTGATTTTTTCTTCTTTTTTTTACTAAACGTGAATGTTAAACAGAATGACTAGCAGCATAATAAAAAAACAGGCGCGTACGCAGGATTTTTTCAAGGGGGGGGGGGGGGTTAACATTTTTAAATCGGGCCGAAAGATTCGCAACGACTCAGCCAGCCGCTGAATAAGCGGGGGGGGGGGGGGGGGGGGGGGTAAGAGGACACTTTTTTTCTTTCTTTTTTTGGTCTTGAAATTTGAAAATTTGACATTTTGCTCCGTTGAGGGGGGGGGGGGGTTAAGGTCAACTTTTTTAGATCAGCCATTGGTATAATTTTTTTTTTTTTTTAATTTAAATTTTAAAAAAAAACCAATACCCCAAAGGGGGGGGGGTTGCTCCAAAATACACACATAAAAATTACCAAAGGGGGGGAGGGTTCAACCCCTAACTCCCCCCCCCCCCCCCCCCCCCCTGCGTAGGCGCCTGATCGGAAACATAGTTCAAATGACAAGTCAAAGACAAGATAATGCCGGGAGATAATGGAATGATTTGAAATTCATGAAGGCCATTGTTTTTTACAAAGAATGATTAGAATAACGGTTTCATAATTATTTCAGTACCGGCTGACTTTTTGATCGGTCATGTTATTTATTTCATGTCAAACCAATGAACTGAAAATCATGATCGCGCCTGACCTTAGGAAACGATTAGCTGTTTTAAAAAAGGCTTACTTGTATGATTAGGCTTAAATGTTGTTAATCTAAGGAGACTTTAAAATAACCATCTATCAGTTAAAAAAGAAAAGAAAAAAGAGGGTCTATCCAAGGATACCGCTTGGTTTGACAACTCGGTCTGTATATCAGAAAAACACTAATTGTAGAGGTCACCCCCCCCCCGCCCCATCTTCTCCATGACCAATTATATAAAAAGATTGGATTAAAATGAACAAATTTCAACAATATTTTGTTTAAAGGTCTAGACTCGCACCGTACTGTTAATCTCTGTAAAAATAGTTTGTCTACTTCTCCATGTCCCTTTTATTCTCTGTCTGTTGGGAGCCAAACGGCCGTTAACTCTGTTTAAAGGATTTAAGTTACCGCTCATTTGGCTCCAAACAGACGATTATTTTGTAAATTCATGCGTATTATTGAGGCACCAAAATAAAGGTGCTTGATGTTTGCCAGTGGTGTCGTGGTCGAGTGGTTACGTCGCCGGAATATCGACCACAAGGTCCGCGGTTCGAGTCCCGACGCGGCACTAATGTCATTTGGCAATACATTGATCTGCATTCGATGCAGTGAATCACTCAACTCTATTAATGAAGTTAAAAAACGTTGGTTGCACGGATAGAGCCATAAAATGGTTTCGGTCCTATCTAGGAGGCAGGAGCCAGTTTGTGTCTATTAAAGGTAAAAAGTCATCAACGAGAACAATTAATTACGGTGTACCCCAAGGTTCTGTCTTAGCGCCATTGTTATTCTCGATATTTATTAATGACTTGCCCACTAGTATTCATAGTGCGGACATGTTTTTATTTGCAGATGACGCGACCATGTCGGTACAAGGCAAAACATTATCTGAGATCCAAACGAAACTAAATCTTGCTTTAGATGAAGTGTATTCGTGGACGCAAAAAAATAAACTTCTATTGAATACTACTAAAACAAAGGTAATGGTTATTGGGTCGAAGCAAAAGTTACAGACGCTAAACGAAAATAATTTAAATGTGCGTATAAAGACAACACCGATTGAATGTGTGACACAGTACAAATGCCTCGGTGTTATAGTAGACAGCAATCTCTTATTTTCGAAGCATGTCGAAAAAGTAGCTTTACAAATGAAACAGAAATTAGGTATTCTAAGAAGACTCAAAGGCACGTTCAATAAACATTATCTGAGTATGATATACTGGGGCTATATTCTACCTCATGCTATGTACTGCTGCACTGTGTGGACAAATAGATCCCTGCATAATTATGAAACTATAAATAAATTACATAAACGAGCAGCATATATTATATCTGGATGTTCGTGGTCAACTCCTTCACACGAGGTTTTATTACAACTTAATTGGTTAACACTTGAGGCATTGTATTCAAGAGCAATGGGGATTATGGCATTTAAATGTGTTCACCATCTTGCACCTGCCTTATTGGCAAACAAATTTATTTTACATGATGATGTAGCACAACGCATGACACGTAATTCCCATCAACTTAAGCTGGAATCCAATAGGTGCAATACAGAATTCTTTAAGCGCTCCTTTGTAAACTCTGCAATAACACTCTGGAATAATCTACCCATAGAAACCAGGTTCTCCCCCAATCTGAACGTATTCAAAAGCAATTTATCACACTGAGTCTGGAACGCTCTTGTTCATTGCCGTGCAATATGAATGCTGCAATCTCCTTTAACATTTTATTTTAATTAGCACACGCCAATAATGAATCTTGCTTACTTATTTTATCAATATGCTAAACAACATTATCATTGATGTTTTTTTTTTTTTTTTTTTTTTTTTTTTTTAAACCTCAATCAAGGAATCTTTGAAATTGTATTTCATGTACTTAAGCAATACCATGTTATGAATTGATTATGATACTAACATATGCATGTTATTATATTTATGTGCATAATATGTCAACTATTTGTTTTTATAATTAATAGTTTAAAGTATTAAATGGGAAAGTATTAATAGTATATATGGTATAACGTAATGGTGACGGCAAACTTTTTTAACATTGAAATATATTGCAATAATTTGTTTTGATATTTATACCATACTTTGTTTTAACTTTAACCTAATACTATGTGTTATTGCGTACAAATGTCAACTACATGTATATATATATATATTTTAATTGTGGGTTTTTGTTGTTGTTTGTTTACAATAGTTTTAATTATAAACTGGGAAAGTATTTAATTGTATACATTTTATAATTACTCAATGGTGACGGTAAACTTTTTTTAACATTGAAATATTCGCAACAATTTTATAAATATCTATAGCATACCTTATCTTAATTTGAACTTCGTATACTATGAAATGTACTGTATCGCCTTTTTATTGCATGTCCGAATTATCTCTCATATTATAATGTGCATTTATTGTTGTTTTGATTGACATTATTATTGAACCATGTATGTTGTAAAGGGCCCTGATGAAAACCAGCTCATGCTGATCGGGCTACCCTTTTTAAAGATGTGAAATAAATAAATAAATAAATAAAAACTTGCCACACTCAACCCAGGTGATATAAATGGGTATCTGCATGGCAAAAATAATGATTTCTTGAAATGGTAATAACCTTCAAGTTTGGAAGCGTTTAAAGGAAGTATCTCACTGAGCGGCGAATGCTTGCGAACGTAGCAAATTCGGGGTTTCGCCAGGGTTCGAAAAGGTTGCAAGAAAGTTCGCAAACAGTTTTCTTTGTCGCAAAGAAGTTTTTAACATGTTCAAAAATTCTTTGCGAATTTACTTTTCCGCAAACAGTTGCAAGCGTTTGCAAAACAGTCGCAAGCGTTTGTAAAACAGTCGCAAGCGTTTGCAAAACAGTCGTAAGCCTTTGCAAACGGTTGTCAGACGGTGTCGCTCTTTGTTTTGCCAATGCTAGCGACAATGTTACCATAATTATGGTTCCTTTATAAAAATCGACCCATTAAGTACCAGGAGTTAGCAAAAGGTGAACGATCACAAATAGTGGCAAAGGATTGGCAAATAGTTGCTAATCTTCGAGAGAAAAAAAAATCCCTAACATTTTGCTTACAGTCGCTAATAGTCGCCAACTGCCTTTCGCTAACACTTTTGGAAACATTCGCTCAAATGTTGCTAATTGTCGCTAAACATCACTAAAAGTCGCTGATTTTCGCCAACATTCGTCAGAAAAGTTGGCGAATCCGCCGCTCAGTGAGATACCCCCTTTGTAATTCGCGCTATATAAAAGCTGAGTATCATTATTATTATCATCCTGCTATCGAATAGACCCATGCTGATACACAAGGACAAACAGAGGGGTGAAACATAGCAGAGACGATATTATTGGCAGAAATCAGAGAGAGAGAGAGAGAGAGAGAGAGAGGGAGAGAGAGAGAGAGAGAGAGAGAGAGAGAGAGAGAGAGCTAGAGAGAGAGAGAGAGAGAGAGAGAGAGAGAGAGAGAGAGAGAGAGATTTTGGAACTTGCAAGCCTGGACAATGCCTATCTCTTTGCAACCTCATTTTATCATTTTCTCCATCCTGATATACAGGTATTGTTAAGCCCCTATCACGACTAGTACACATTTCTCTCGTCATTGTTAGGAATGTGATGCATTCTTTTGAAAGTTTAGCAATTCCAAAACCTGGTTCAAAAGTTTAATTTGTTCGACCAAACGCAATAATTTTTTTTTTTAGCAGATGTTTCTGCATTTATTGATAAATCAAATATAAAACATTCAAATAACAATAATAGTATATAATATAATTGATTTACATCAAGAGTGACAACTTAATACACACAAAATAAAAAAAATTAAAAAAAATACATAATTGAAAGCTTGAAAGTATGGAGGTAAGTAAAAATAATCAAGATAAATGCAGAGGCCAACTATCATAAGCAAAGAAGCTTGAGGCGATAGCAGCCGGGAAGGGGGGGGGGGGGGGGGGGGGTACATGGCGCTGTTTTTAGGAGAATGTAGGGGAATAGAGTCACATATAAAGATTTTGTTCAGAAAGTATCTGAATACTAATTGTGATCATTTCAAAACGTTCCGAAAGTATAATCATATCGTTAACAGCAATGTATTTCTATTTGATCGATTTTGTAAAAGACAATTTGATAATGCTTGAATCAACATATCAATCACCTTCCTTGATTGTTTCCCAAGAAAGAAAAAAAAAAGTCAACTTACAAAACAGAATAATTTCGATTATCTTTTTATTTCTAGAAGTTTATATCATTACTATTTCAGCTTTATTCAACTGTTTATACACTTATCTATAAGTCCATGTGTATACACATACACTTTTAGAAAAGCCATGCTTCATAATTATAAAAAGTACAAACATATTTCAATTAAAAGAAAAGAATTCGATATTTCGTAAACGTCAGTAATCTAAAGAAACTCTTGAAATTGTCCCCAAATTATTCAAAATATTAAAAACACTATAAAGTTTTGAGTCAAGGTAAGATATGAAAACCACATATAAAGATGATGAAAGATCATTGAATTTGGCTATAGGCCTACCAAGCTTATTGGCTTATTTTGTCCTACTATTGTAAAGTCTTTTCCATTCTCCATGGAATAATATTTTGCTTTAAATAATATTGGAGGACTGCACAACCGTCAGAAAATCGAATGTAAAGTAATTGTGTATTGGCGCCGCTACATGACACAATATTTGCAAAAGTAGCTAAAACTTACACATCTCATATCAAATATACTTTGCATTTTAAAAATAAAACTAATATAAAAGCTTACCGACTGATGCTCCATGTGCGGAAAACAAAGAAAGCGCCAAAACAAGGCACATAAATCGCTTCATTTTTAATTCTCGTCTTCTCTCTATTAAGCAGAAGTGCAGAGTTACTTCCAGTGTTCTTCGGATGAGAGTTGTGAGCGAGAGTGACAGACTAAAAACTGATCCTACTCTATATATGGCTTCTCAAGCTTGCTTGGATTCGATAGTAAACAAGAGCGGTACGGAGTGGGGTGGGGGGGGGGGGGGGGGGTAACAGAGGTCCTTTCAGGGATTGGCAACTGTCCAAGGTACAATAGCCTCCTTGTGAGAGTAAAATTAACTCACAAAAGAGGCGACTACAATCATTACTTGATTGGTAATTAAAAATCCGTTAAATTATGTTCGATCGGAAACAGATATTAGAAAAGCCAAGTGAACAAGACGAGGAGGATCAGAGCAAAGAGAAAAATAATCAAATTTTAAAGAATCGAATTTCTAAAGATTAAATTTCATCGAAACGCTACAAATGTATTTACAATCCATCAATCATGAAATCAATGGATTTCATTTTCATAAAGATTTGTATTACGCAAAGCTCGCTTAAAATTACAAAGAGGAAGATTACATTGGGGCAAGAATCATCAGCCCCTTGTCGAAAATTTGCCCGTGCGCCAGTAGGACCCCACCTTCTCCCATCTCATTTTTATCTCTCTTCATCGTTCTATAATTATCTTCAACACGAAAGTATTTTCGGTAACTGGGTGCGGGTTACCGTTATGTAACGGTTGTGGACGCCAAACTCGAAACAAATCCTATGAGAGACGCCAAACATTGATTCAGCAAATAATGCCAGCTTTTCCACTTGAAATTTTAAACGTCTTGGAAGAAATAACAAAGAAGTAGAGTAAATATCACTACCTTAACATACACAAAATTATCTATGCACCATTAGGCCGTAATTCGAGTGACCTGAATTATCAATTATGCTTTTTGTTCCGTGGAACTCTCTGAGGCTACGAAAATAGATTATTATTTTGTTCATTGTTCAGCCGCAAGATATACACTAGAAATGCTTGTCTTATTGTTTCTTGCTGTGGTTTAATTGGAAATAGTCTTGTCGTTGTTTTTAAATGATTCCACGGGCCCCGATTTGTGTGTGTGAACAGACCCCTAAAGAATTCTTACACTTGAAACTGATAAGTCTTGAAATAAACTGTAATCTGCAACAGATAGGGAATTTGTTTTAATCTCAAACTAGAGAGGTTACTGGAAGCTGTTTATAAAAGTTGTACATTCATTATGATGATCTATATCAGTGATGGGGATCTTCTTTTCTCTTATTCTCTGTCACTCCTATTTTGCCTCTTTTCATCGACATGCATGTTTGCATCATTTTTGTCTTTGTCACGTACGATCCTATTTCAATAAATCTGTCTGGTTGTCTCTCCCTGTCTCACTGTTAGTCTGTCTCTGTCTCTGTCTCTCCCTTTCAGTCAGACCGCAGCGCGCGCGTTAATGAGGCTGAAAGCTGATTTTTATTCAGCGATATCTGGCGATCACATAACATTTACGTCTGCTGAATTTCCATGCGCTTTTCAGTGAGATTTGTAGGGGTGTACATGTAGCTGCGTTTTTGGTCGTTAACTTCATTCAACATGGCAGCATGCAACGGAAAGTCACTCTCGAGATTTTCAGCATCAGTTTGATATGTAATTTGCCATATTTCGCAATTTGTAAACAATAATTTTCACAACTTTTATTGACGCTATTTTTGTAACATTTCAACTGCTGTTTTGACCCGGGAATTTCACTTTTGGTTCCTGACTTTGTGACAAAATAAATTTGTCCACTTTGAGATTCGTTCGAAAGATGAAAAGTCACTGATCAAAAATATGTCAAAACCTAATTGACGCAAAATCATGTTCTTTTTATAATCATAGTAATTAAGACCCTAAAAACCCGGAAATTACCAATTTGTTCTTTTTATGATAGCGCGAAATTGTGTGATTTCATACTCGTGCACGCTCGCCGTCTGAGCAATGGCAATGCATAACTGATTATTAAACTCCAGGGAGCTCCGCCGCGCCATCGACTAGCCGAAATTTTTTTAGAAAAATGATTAAAAAAGAAATATAGTAGAAAAGAAACATTTACATGGCATGTGAGGCATTTGATCTCGGGTCCTTAGATTGTTGTCAGGACTGCTTGCGCGCACGTGCATTACAGGCGCACGCCACAACGCATGGTTACCAAGATGTGGTATTCAGAATGTTAATAAACCAAAGCGAAACATATGTGACGTAGTTGACGTAGTTGACCAATCAGAACTCTCTATTATCACATCGGCAAAATTTACTACTTTTTTTAATTATTCATGAACATGAGCGTGATCATTTTTGGTTCCTGACTTTGGGACAGCGTAAAATATAATAATTTTGATATCATTGTAAAGAAAAATATTTATGCTTTATGCTGATTATAATATCTTCTTGACGCAAGAATGATTTCTATGTGAAAATTAGCCCTACTCTTTAGATAGATTTATCGTCGAAAAACCCCATTTTCAAGGCGAAATATCTGTTTCCAAAATATATCTAACATGATTGTCATATAAGTATATAGAGAGTGCAACTTCTTATCTTTAAAATAAGACCCATTTCATGAGAAATGAACAATTATAAAGGCAAAAACTGCCGATCGGGAAGACCGTCTGCACTACTCATTACGTATGCGAGACACGTAAATTCTTGCATACGTGCTGAATAAAATAGAGGGTTTTCGCACCGGCTGCGGTCTGACTGCTTTCTCCCCTCATTTCTCTTTCTTTCTCTCTCTCTCTCTCTCTTACACACACACACACACTCTCTCTGTCTCTCTTTTATAATTATGTTTTAACTGGGTAAGCAGATGTCTAATTTTAGACAAGATGTTTTTTAGAGTTTACATTAAAATACAATCGATATATTAATCGCTACAATCTTAACTTGGGGAAAGTGATTTTCCGTTTTATTTTATCTCTTTAACATTTGAATGAGTTTAATTTATAGAAAACTAATTTTAGATAAAATAATGATGGAAATTCCAATCAAAGCAATTCGTTAAACACGTTTTAATTTTCATATTTTGGGGTCTCGTAAAAATAAAAGTGAAGTATATATGGCTACATAGTATTTGGGTGATAAAACTGTAGGTTTTAATTGCAAATCCTAGAGAGGGTGGCATAAGGGTGCGTGTCCTTTAATACTTTTGACTTAACTATTCCTTTACTTCTACGGATTTTTAATCATGATTTTCTGTGTGATAGTTTTCTCGTCAGATATTTTGTTGGACATCATATTCCGCCGGAAATCGACTACCATGCGCCATTTATAGTATCTGTTTTAAAGAAAATAAAGTTTCCATCATCTTAGAAAATACAATAGGAAGAAAAACTGGATCATTTGGGAGTTCACTTGGATAGATTCGCTTCCTGAGTAGCAGGACTGTAACAAAGAGACTTATGGAGGATTGGAATTCACTGATACTAAACGCAAATCAACCGAGGGGGTTTCTTTGCACATAGCATTGAATAACATTATCAACTGTGACGCCAGTTTATAATACACACGTCACAGAATATACTTTTGTTATCGATGAATCCCCACCTTTCTTCACATATCAAAGTGCTGTTGAGTTGTGGAAAATACCATAGTTACCTGTAGTTACCTGTAGTTACCTGTCTTCACGGGCTCTAATTTAAGACGTAGTCCTATAATGCCCACCTTCTTTCATTCAAAATCCACTGCATGTGATATCGCTTCATTATTTGCAGATATCAATCCTAACATGGAATGCAGACAGCTTTGCTGTCTGCTTAATACTTAAGTCTTACATGTAATCAATAATGTCATACATGTTCTTAATAGTCATATTTGTTGTACTTCGCTGAGAAAAATGCATCAAATTGACCTTTGAAGGCGTTGATCGATGCTGCTTCTACTGCCGACTTGGGGAGCATGTTCCAGTGGTCAACTACTCTGTGCGTAAAGCTGTTCTTTCTGATGTTCAAGCGGGCATGTTGCTTCTGAATTTTCATACTATGGCCTCTTAGGTTTATGCTTGCTTCCTTCATAGAAAATAGGCTATCTCTGTCCACGTCGTTGTGACCATTCATTATCTTGAATACCTGGATCATGTCACCTCGAAGACGTCTGTAGGCTAATGTTGGCAGGTCAAGTCTCTCCAGCCGGGTCACGTATGGGAGATCTTTAATGCTTGGGACCATTTTTGTTGCCCTTCTCTGCACTTTCTCCAGCTTTGTGATGTCTTGTCTGAGGAACGGATTCCACACACAATTTGCATATTCCAGGTGGGGTCTGACTAATGTTTTGTGCAGTAGACAAAACATATCTTCATCCATATGTGCAAAAGTCCTCCTTATTAGACCCACTATCCTGTTTGCTTTGTTGGCAACCTTCCCGACATGCTTGCTGAACTTCAGTGTTGGGTCGAATGTGACACCAAGGTCCTTCTCCTCCTTCCTTACTTCCATGTTAGCCCTTGTTGTCCCATCTCTCATACTGTATGGTCTGGTTTCATCTTGATTCCCATAATGCATTACACCGCATTTACCAACATTGAACTTTAACTGCCATTTCTCTGCCCAGTCACATAAGCTGTCTAAGTCTTGTTGCATGGTTTTCCTGTCTTCTTGTGACTTAATATGGGTGTACACCTTGGTGTCGTCCGCAAACATTTCTGCATGTCCTTTCAAGTTGTCCGGCAGGTCATTGATATAGGTGATAAAAAGAATCGGGCCGAGAACACTGCCTTGCGGGATACCGCTCAACACATCCGCCCAGGACGACTTCTTCCCATTCACCGCCACACACTGTCTTCTCTCTTTCAGGAAGCTTTCTATCCAGTTCAATAGTTTTCCATGGATTCCATGTGCCTTCATTTTCTTGATCAGTCGTTGATGTGGTACTGAATCGAACGCTTTGCTGAAGTCTAGATAGGCCACATCAACACCGCCTCCTTCATCTAGCATACTTGTCCATGAATCCAGGACACTGATGAGCTGTGTCGCACATGATCTACCTGAACGAAATCCATGCTGGTGGTCGGTCAAAATCTTCTTCTCATCCATGAAGCTCATGATATGGTCTCGAAGTATTGATTCCATGATCTTGCA